CTAATAGGTGCACGTTATGGTTAAAGGTTTCAGATTGTTCTTAACTGATACGCATCAAGGAGTGGTAGTCAACAAGGAGTGAAATATTGTTATTGTCTCCAAATTTTTTGTGGACGGCGTTCGGTGGTTGGCGTGCGGCGTCTGTAACAAATGCCAGGGGTGACATTTTGCATGTTAATGCCTTGTTAAAATATGTTGCTGTCACTGTCAGCTAGCAAAGATGTCATAACATCATAACGAGGAAATCATTTTATTACTATTGCATTTTTGTTTTCAGGAATACACTCATATTTATTTACACGAATATTTTTTCGCAAACATGAACATTTTCTAAAACATATGATACTGATATACGTTTGTGAGAAAAAAGTCGTGGGGATTCTGCCCACAACGCGTGAAATAAGGAAAAAAGAAAAATCGTACCTTCGACGTTCCGACATATTAGGCTTTAAATTTTCAATCACTTACAGAATGTGCTCTTCAAATATAGGGCGCAAAAATTGGCAAGAATGTGAGTAGCGATGAGGGAAAACAATTTATGAAGTGAGTCCTGCCCAAAATAATATAATGTTTTTTTCCTTGAATCAAACACTGCTCAAATGTTGATTAGATTAGACTAATATAGTAATAATAATGAAGCCACTTGTGTTCCAAATTGTTAAGAAAAAAAGACATCTTCTTCATAATCAATGCTCATGTGATCTCCAGCCAGTTTATAGTAGCCTAATAACTTATTATTATGAGTGATCTTTATACTATTGCTATTTGTTCTCATAATTAAAGCATGAAAAAGTATGAACATTTTTAGTAAGAATTTTTCTAGCGTTCAGAAGTCTAGTGCATCACGGGTATTGCATCACCAAGCCGTTCACCAAAATTTTCTTTGGGGAGAAGTAAAGCCTCTCATTTTTATTCTTTTTTTCTTTTAGCCACCATGGCCTGGAAACTATTGAGTGCAACATTGTTTGAGATTATTTTTCTAGTTGGTTATGTCAATTAGGGTTATTTTCCTGCTAATTATACAGTCACCATTGCCACCTGTTGTTGAGGTTAATTATAAATATAAACTTACAAACTTTCTTATCATGAGTTATTGTTGCCTGTTGATTGGTGATATGTAGGGTCGGGTCGAGAGACTGCTCGTGTTTAACATTTACTTTGATGACTGGTTTTATCATCCGTAAGCGTAGCCAGGGGATGCGACTGAACCTCCATAACAAATAACAATAACAATTAGATCCGATAAAGAAAAGAGCTTTCAAATGCTTTTTATTTGAAGATTCTAGCTCAAGCTTGAAGCCCGGTGTTTGAAGGAAGTTGCATCAATTGTTGTAATAAAAAAGTTTGATTGGGTTGGGTAGCTTACCTTACCTCCCGACTGAAAGGCCATTTTTGGCGATCGCACGCGTACGTGACTTGAAGCTTGCGATGTCCCTGATGATGGTATTTTAAACAAAAAACAACAAGCAAACGCTCTTTTACACCCCCCTCCATAAGCTAGCTCCCCCATTGAACTACGTGCGAACACCTCTTTACCTTTGAATTTTTATTTACTTAACCTTCGATGAAAATACTTATATTATTGATGGAAACGTAATTTGACTTTATTTCCAATACCTCCAAATTTTCTCAATTTTTTCCTCAATTACAATAAGTCGAAAATTGATGATAATTTTTTGAAAATCGACATTCCCATGTCAACCAATGGGAATTGGTAGGTTTGCCGCAAGTCATATAACAGAATATCCATCCATCTAAGTCCTGAAGCACTTTAATATTTATCAAATAAACTAAACACTTACTGTCACGCGTGAGTGTACAAAAAGTTACACAATTCAATTTTCTATATGAAAATATTTTTTACTGAATCTTTTAATCTGATTTCTGATTTGCCCCTAACCCATTTTCAGAAATTCATCAAATTAATCATCAATTTTCGACCTATTGTAAGTGAGGTAAAAAATTGATAAAATTTGGAGGTATTGGAAATAAAGTCAAGTTACGTTTCCATCAATAGCCTAGGCCTAAAGTATTTTTGTAACTAACTTTATATTGTAAGCTTATATTTCTTCACGTTTGTTTTATAATTGCATATAACACTTGAATAAAATAAACCGAAAACACAATTAGAAATAATGTATACCAGTGGATTTTATTCTTCATTTTTTCCATTAATTCATCCACATTATTCAGGAAAATACATAGTTTTAAATTCGCGGGCAAATAAAGCCACGGCCTTTATTTTATAGTGGACCACATGCTTATATGGTCCAAAGATTTCAATGGAGAGCAGTCTTCATCAAAATTTAAAATCTTAATAACTTTTTAGCAAATCATTTATTTTCTTAGGATTCAACGGATCCTTGTTAGACCCAAAGAAGTGTTCATTTTGATATATAAAACAGCAAAATCCATCCACAGATCTTTCGGCCTTTTAATGATTTCAGTAGATTTTCGGGATATTTTGCTAAAATCCCCCATTGGGCGCCATTATAAACTTTGAAAAAAACCAAATCCTCATCATTTCATATCATTCGTTAAGTGATCTAAACAACTCCAATCGCTTAGGATTCAACGGATTCTAAGAGATCAAAGCTAATTATAATACAATATGTTGACAACCACCGTTTCAATATTTGCCGCATAATCTTTCGGCCTTTTAGGTTATAAATTTGTCAATATTTTGATTTTCGACCATTAATGACGTACTTGGATCCGAGATTCATTGTCCCGGGATTCATGACGCTATTTCCATTATTCTACGCCATGTCGAATGTCTTATACTTGCCCATTGATTGCTAGGACTATCTTCTGTGATTTTTCAATGGTCAAAAATAATGTCGAGAGAGGGGCAAAAAGGCCCACCCTCTGTTACATGGGTTTTAAAAGCAAAATGAATCAATTAAAGACTCGTCCACACACATTTCAGACCGGTTCAAACCTTTGACAGATAAAGTATTCTTAACCGCTACCATGAATTCTAGCCATTCGATATGTGTCGGAGGGAAATAAGGTACAAACCAAATGTTAAAATCATTATATTTGAAAATCAATTGTTCTTAACAATACGATTTTTGTATGTTTTAACCTTTGTGGGTCGTTTTGCCCGCAAAGACATGTGAATTTTCAAACAGGGGTTTTAATTTGCCTGATATATGCCCTCGAAATTTTTACGAATAAAGAATAAATATGCATACTCTATGTAAAATGTTAAATCAAAACGATATTCTATTGTTAGCGGATTTCTTAGAGATTCTCGTGGGAGGCTGGCTAATTTGCAAAAAGAGAGTGAAAAGTAGAATTAATGCGAAACGCTGCTAGAATGGGCGGTCGAGAAGGACTTTTGAAGAACCATCTTTTTATAATTCAAGGATATTTCGATGGGCCACTTTGCCCCCGACGGTGCCGTTTTGCCCCATTTTCTTGCCATTGACGTCTGTGAAGCTCCAAGGCTTCCAAGTGTTCTGGGCTACCCAAGTATTCCGACCTGAGGCCCGGGTATAGGGGAGAGTGGGGTAAGACGGAACGAAAATCTACACCTATGTTTGATAGGCTACTGTCCATTAAACATGGGTTTCCTTGAAAATGTTTATAATATATTACAAAGCAGAGCAACTGAAAATGATTTTAAAATTAATTTATATTGTCTATACCGACTATTTCATATCAAAACCGTCTACGGTGTCAACAAGGGCAACTTTACCAGGCGTGGGGTAAGACGGAACAGGTGGGTAAGACGGAACGGTTGATTTTATCTGAAGGATATCTAAATAAAATGCTCCGATTTGATGTTTTTTTTACATATACTTACTTTTATTTTAAATTCAATAGCATACATGTTTTTTCACCATATGGATATGGAATGATTTTCCAGAAAGCACTTGCTAGCCATGTAATTGATTTGTTGACAATGATTTACCTGTCGACTATGCTCATACACAGGTCAACAATAAGTGGGAAACGTCTTCTCTTTGCATTAACACATGAAAAGTTTCCAAAATAGTGGAATGAAATTGACCTCAGGTCACCTAATCATCAGTCGCCAAGGGTCACAGCAGCCTCAAAGGTCCTTGAAACGCCAAAAACCTAAATATTGACCTTTGACCTTGAGATGACCTTTAGATGACCTTGACTCATAAACCTTGACATTGACTTCAGGTCACGTAATCATGAGTTGCCAAGGGTCACAGCAGCCCCCCTAGGTATTAAAAAGTAAAAACCTAGATACTGACCTTTGACCTTGAAACGACATTGACCTCAGTTCACTTATCATGTGTCACCGAGGTTCACAACAGCCCCAATGACATTAAATCACCAAATACCTAGATATTTACCTTTGAATGACCTTGACCTTAAAAATGAAAGTGGGGTAAGACGGAACGATCTGGTACGCCTGTGCGTACCCAGCGTAAAAAATAATTTTTAACGGCGTAAAAAGTAATTTTTAACGGCGTAAAAAGTAATTTTTAACGGCGTAAGAAATAATTTTTAAAGGCGTAAAAATAATTTTTAACGGCGTAAAAATAATTTTTGACGGCGTAAAAAGTAATTCTTTACGGCGTATACAATCGTTTTTACGGCGTTCAAAATGAATTTTAACGGCGTACAAAATCGTTTTTAACGGCGTAAAAGTAATTCTTTACAGCGTATAAAATCGTTTTTACGGCGTTAAAAGTAGATTTTACGGCGTTAAAAGTATGACGATACATTGGTCCAGATGGCCAGCCATAGCGTACCGGGCGCTACGCCCATGATTACTAAGCTTATAATAGACACCACTGAAGTAGTAGATCTATAAAACGATACCCTCATAAATGTGAGGTTATTTTGTATTTTTAAAAATCATATTGACATTTCTGTGTCAGTGCTTTAGATGTCAGAAACGCAAATCAGGCTACGATTCTCCTTTGTCCCTTGATAAAGCAAACGGATATTCTGTTCGTTTTTCTAGTGCAAATACGTCATCAGTGGCGGATTGCTAAATGTGTAGTACGGCTTCAAATAGTGCAAGGAAGTACTCAAGTTAAAAAAGACTTTCACATTGATTATAATAAACCAGACTATAATATTTTACATTCAAGTAATACGAATGATAATTCACACAGAAGACCAAACATAAAAATCATCAAATGGTTTTCAATGAAGCACTGTCGCGGATAGATTTTATGATGACATCACCGTGATTACACCCTTTTCCTAATAAACCTCGAGGTGCGCTAACAAAGACTGAAACCGGCCGCAGAAATTCGATTTTACAACACACAGAACCACATTTAAAAGATATCTCATCAACAAACAAACTACTATGGCTTACAGATCACGTTCAAACGACTCATCGAGCCGATCAGATAGACGAGGAGGGTAAGGATCACATTTACGTTTTGTTAAAAATCAAAATGGGCGACAAATTTCATTTGAAATAATTATTTAAAAAATATTCATCGCCATTGTTGTCTAGGCCTAGGCATATCTCTATGGCCATTCGTCAATAAAACCTCAAGAATAAACAATCAAGATACTACATTATAGTTTGGAAAAAATACATTCATATTTTTATGCAAACATTTCGATGTCAGGGTGCATGCTTCCTCAATTGAGTTTTTCAAACAAGGATCTCTCTTTCCCTTACTCACTTCGAGAGCCATGTTAGATTTTGAAACTTATGGCTCTCAAACGGAGAAGTGAACAGCTGATCAATAGTGACCTTTGAAATTGAATTAAGTCGATCCGCGGCTTACTTTTGGTCTCTAACTGTGTCTTACATCAGTATCATCAATCCGTGTAAGTATTGGAGCGCTGGAGTACTTCTTTTTCGATCGAGACTTGTAAATTGTTCATCGAGTTAAAGTTTTACAGACCTATTTCCAATATGGCGGTTTGCTAGGTGCAACGAACGAAATGAATTTTGAGAATTAGTTAGGTTCGGACAACCTCCGGAGATTTACGAAAATGTCCGAGCAGAAACCGCCATATTGGAATTTGGCAGTAAAACGATTCACTCGACTAACAATTACAAGTCTTGATCGAAAAAGAAGTACTCCAGCGCTCCAATACTTACACGGATTGATGATACTGATGTAAGACACAGTTAGAGACCAAAAGTAAGCCGCGGATCGACTTAATTCGATTTCAAAGGTCACGATCATTGAGCTGTCCAAATGCTCCGTGGGAAAGCTATTATATCAAAATCCAAATAGCTTTCGCAGGAAGTAATCTTTCCCCACATTGTCTATTTCTTCCAGTTTTGCACAAAGAGTTCACTTATGTGCCAAGAAAGGACTTGTGAGAAGAATGTTTTGATAAAGTGTATAAAAACTAGAAAATTCAGTGAAAAATTCACTTTTGAGAGAAGAATGTTTATTAGAGTCCATTTCACTGCTTCATTTCGTCAGTAGAACGGCAAAAATAAGAAATTGGGAGACCATTGTGCAATAATATATGGAAAAGTATATTCATAATGTACATGAATGACATTTGTATATCTTGGATTGCTTCTAGTTTGGCTTATAAAGTGTGTGGCCTCTTATATTTGGATGTTTCTCTGCCATGTTATTTTCAATAAGATTAACATGGCTGAAATTCTTCAAATTACAAGACGGCACAGGCTTATTGCACAAAAAACTTAACAAATCTGAAAAACTATTTAAACAATTTTGTTGAAATTTCAAATTTCCTGTCTGAACTAGGTATGGTGGTGGTGGCCCAAGATATGGTGGAAATAGTGGTGGGAATCGTTATGGAGGACCTCCACAAGGCTTTGGAGGAAAGAAATTCAAAGATGATCAACCTGGTGGCAGTTTGAAGAAGCCTAATTGGTCATCAACAGAACTGCAGCCATTTGAGAAAAACTTTTACAGAGAAGATCCACGTGTTGCAAACAGAACCGAGGTGAGTATAAGAAATATCCAAATCTGGCCTAGAGTTTTCCTAAAAGATAGTTCATAATAACATTCAGTTACCAGACATTCTTGTGTCCATTAAGTTATTGTTCTTAGAATTTATTTTTTCTTTATCCAATTTAGAATACAATTGACGAAGACCTCAGTAATTTTCATAATTACAAAATCTGTTTTTCAATATTTGATTTTTGGAACAATAGTAATTAATTATTTTGTATCATATAGCAAGAAGTGCAAGAATTTTGCTGTCGACATGGAATCACATTTAAAGGACGTAACGTCAACAAACCATGTTTCACATTTGCCGAGGCTAACTTTCCAGGTATGGTGTGTCAAACGAGTCAAATCAAACCCCTTAGTTGCTACACCACTCTCTTTATACAGCATGTGTTTTAGTCATTATCTCACTTTATGTTATATGAGATATAAGTTACAGGCTTTATAGCTGTAGCTACTTGTTATTTTGACAAGTTTCTTTAGCAGTATGTTGTTCAGAGAGAGAGGTAGTGACAGGGTGATGTTAGACAAGTCCAACACCCGCTGAGTAAGTCTGCCTTGTACCATGGCAACAAATTCATGTACTGTATTTAAAGATATATTTTTAATCATTTGTAAGCGCAAACATTTATTTATTATTCTTTAAATATCATAATTTACTTCTGGTCTACCGAGAAAAATCTCAATCATAAAAATTCCTCAGAACTTTTAAAATCCTCGGTCTAAACATGGCTTTTTAAAGGTTCATACATCAACTTTGAATGGACCTTCATGCATAATTTGAAAACATAATCATCGGAGAAGGATTTAAACCATAAAATCTACTCTAAAGCCAGAAAAAAATTGGAGCCTAATGTTCCCTTAATTTATTTTAAAATGTAGATGACTGCAATGTACCAAAACTCTTCAAAAACATTTTTTTACCTTTAACTTTGATACTGTCTCTTCAAAAGATACTGAGTGAAAATACTTAATTTGTTGCCATGGTCACTGTTCCACAGCTGGATGACTCTAACTGCAGTTATCTTCATTCAAGATGGTTGCCAAGATTCTTTCGTTTTTGATAAACCTCCAATTTCAGCTAAACTAAGCTGAATCCAAAAGTTTCACCATGCAAATTAATAAAACTATGATTGTATTCAATCACAAAGGAATTCCCAAACATTCACAATTTTTCAGAAGTTGATGATGTACATCATCATTACATCAACATTTAGTTTAATAAGAGTCTTTCTTAGTAAAGTCATTTTCCTAAAAATGCTCCAATATCGATTTGCATGGCGAAACATTTGGAATTCAGATTCTTCTTAGTTTAGCTGCAACAGAGATTTATCGAAAACGAAAGAATTTCGGCAACAATCTTGAATGAAGCTAACTGCAGTTAGAGTCGTCCAGCTGTGGAACAGTGATGGTACTTATGAGAAGGCAATGCTTGAGCTACCTATTTGCTGAGTGAATGTGTAAGGCCTAGGTAAAACCACTAATATCCAGATATATCCAGGTCCTCTTCAGATCCTGGGAGACCATCTCCCTCAAAACTTCTCAATTGACCTGGATGTGTCATAGCCATGGACCTATTGCTTGAACCATATAATGCTGCTTTCTGTTATATCTGTGTGCAAGCAGTGGGTCCTATGTATCTAATTCACACTGTTGCGCTTGTTATCTGTTCCTTATTGTAACCATACAAATTGTTGATGACTTGTAGGCGGAAATGCACCACTTTTATACAGAGAAAGGAATAACTTTTGAAGGAAATCCAAGAAAGCCAATTTTTACCTTTGATGAAGCAAATTTACCAGGTATAGTATTAATGCAGTGGTAAGCAATTGTAGTTGTGAAACTTGCCCCTGTTTTGTTGGTTGGTTTTTGCAAATTCCAAAAAGTGACCTTTGGTACTGTAGATATTTCATGTGACATCATGTTAGATATCGTGTCAGTGTTTGGTCATATTCTGGTCTAATTTCCAAATATCACCATCATAATTTGCTATTTTTCAATCTGGTACACTTCTGGAAACTTGAATGGTTTGACAATTGGAATTAACTCCATTTCACTTGCAAATCCTGAACTTAACAAGAAGAAGAGATCAGTGCTAACAGATTGTTATCCCAACGAATGAAGTTCGGTAGGGATAAGTATATTGAAGCCCTCTGTCCATCTGTCTGTCCATCCGTCGGAAGATAACTTTTAAGTTTAAGTTATCTTCCGACGGATGGACAGACAGATGGTAGGCGGACTAGTAGGCGGATTTGCTTCAAGATAGGTGGAAAGATGTATATTGGTGAATAGTTCTTCCCATAAAGATGGCAGCCCTTTAGAAATGGCGGGAATATTTGGGCAAAAGTTCTTATTTTTTTTTATTTTAAACCAAAGTAATGAATATTATTGTTTGAAACTTTGATAATATATTCACAGCATCTTTCTAGGTCACATATAATCCAAGTTTTTCATCCTGACCCCCAAGGGCTGTCTATGGTGGATTTCGGAAACAAGAATTTGCCTCAATTTTGAGATCTTTGTAAAGCTTTATTATACTCAAAATTGAAGGAAATTGTAATATAAATATGGTATTGTTTTTCTGATTTTGACTCAGAAAATTCAAAATGGCTGCCAACAGGAATTGCGTCAATTTTGAGATCTTCAAAGTATGGCGGTATTTATAATGCTATTATACTCAAATTGTAGGAAATATGGGGTAGAGCACTTTTATGGTATTGTTTGTCTGATTTGTGCCTCGGAAAATTCAACAGGAATTGCGTCAATTTTGAGATCTTCAAAGTATGGCGGTATTTATAATACTATTACACTCAAATTGTAGGAAATATGGGGTAGAGCACTTTTATGGTATTGTTTGTCTGATTTGTGCCTCGGAAAATTCAAATGGCTGCCTAAGAAGATATTCGCTGTTACTTAGAGATTTCATTCAAGTATGGTGACATGATACTTTAGGAAGTTCTAAAATATATTGTCTTTACTATTTGTGTATGTATTTCATACTTACTGATTATATTTTCAAGGGGAGAGTAGATGGAAAATATCACATAGTGACAAATACAGATTCATATATGTTACAGTGTTCGTTGGGATTTGCTACTCCGTTTTCTAGTTTTCCCTCTCTTCTAAATCAAATTTTTAAAGCACAGAAAGGAGCTTGGTTCATTTGGAACAGTTCATGTATTGTGGGTCATACATAAGCAGTGATACCTCCAGCATTTTCTATTGCATTCAATAATAAATTGTTGTATGTATGTGGCACTTATGCATATGGTTTTAAAAACCACTTTCATGCATGGACAAGTTCATGAATCTCAGTTAAATCATGGGGAGATTACTGCATTAATGTTGTATGACTCTTGATTCGTGTAACATGCTTCAATTCAAGGTAAGTTGTGCTATGAAGGTATGCTAGAATGTCACTTGTCATGTCTCAGTAAATTGGTCAATCTGAAACTGCATCAAATCCAGTGCTTCAGATTGTGCCATCTTTTGGTTATACTGTATTTCCTACAGACTAAGCTGGAGGATATTTATTAGATAAACATCCAAAATATTCTTTTGACTCCATATTAAAGTTTGCGATATGGCTAGAGTGACATTTTGCATAGTAATTTAGGTTTGAGTGTTTTTATTATACATGGAAGTCAAAAGGTCCATTTCACAAACTACATCATAATTTTCCCAAAGTAAGCTTCAATAGGTGAAAGTATAAATTCATGTACTTGATCAATTGGTATTTTGTAAAATGGGCCACTGAATGATAACTTAATAAAAATATCTCGACTGCTTGATAATTCTTGCCCTAAAGAAGCATCATCATACTATATATTTATTACAAGTATTGTATCAATTCTCCCCTCCCTCATACTGATACTCCATATGACTATGAGGGGATTTTTGTGGGACTTGATGCAATATGTATATTAAAACAATTATTCTCATTTGTGTTTCATGATTGTAAATCAATGTTTTCATTTATTCAGCTTTGTATCATTTGTCTTTATTAATTAATTAATTCTATAAATTTCTAATAATTTCTAAAAATCTCCAAACCATGAATCTTTGTAATATGCTTTGGAAAAGTATAGATAGATAGTTTCATATTTCCTCACCTAAGCTTTCAAAATTTCAAGTATTGCTGCTGATATTTTCAGACTATGTAATGCAACAGATAAGGAAGCAAGGATGGACTAATCCCACAGCTATCCAGTCCATGGGCTGGCCATGTGCCCTCAGTGGACGTAATCTTGTAGGCATTGCTCAGACAGGTTCTGGAAAAACATTATCTGTAAGTATTTATATTCTCTAGCATGAGCAACACCACTGACATTAAAGCTCTTAAACCATAAAATCTAAATCCTTCTAAAGGGAAATGCTTATTGCTGGTTTATACATAATTTATCATATATTTCAGTTCATCCTGCCTGCAGTTGTACACATCAACCACCAGCCATTCCTCCAGAGAGGAGATGGTCCAATCTGTTTAGTGTTGGTCCCTACACGTGAGCTTGCCCAGCAGGTACAAGAAGTAGCCAATCAGTTTGGTTCATCATCCAGAGTGAGAAACTGTTGTGTGTATGGTGGAGCATCCAAGTATCCACAGCTCAGAGACCTTGAAAGAGGTGTGTAACTTTGTATAATTCTTTTTTTTTCAAATGGACACTAAATTTCAAAATGGCCACTCATAAGAAATAGAAGCACTTATGTGATAACTCGGATGTTAATGGATGAATGTGGTTCTAATTTTATATTCTGTTGTCCTAAGATCAAAGAAACACTGTTCAGTCATTTTCAAAATGGCTGTCATTTTTTTTTAAAAAAGAAATACTGAGGGAGCTCTACTCAGAAGATTTTCAAGATAGCAATTGAATTTCAAAATGGCAGCTATTTAATTTTTGTAAAAATTGTAATCTTTGATAGCTGAAATATCAGTGGATGGATTTGGATCAAAGTTTACATTCTGATTCCCAGGATATAAAAATGTTGATGACACGATTATGATTTATAGACCTAATTATGGAATTATAGTTCTTCAGAATTTATGGAATTTCATTTGTTAATATCTTCTGGGCAAAGGGCCTCTACTGAAGAAGGCGTTTTAAATATGGTCAGTTATCTCAAATAGCCACCACTCTTCATAAAAAATTACTCAAATACCAGTTGACAGATTAGGCTCAAGGCACATAGGACCTCTACTCAAGAGCAAATGCTCCCTTTGTTATTTGAAATAAATGGTATATGCATTATGATTGTTTTGTAGGAGCTGAGATTTGTATAGCTACACCAGGACGTCTCATAGACTTCCTTGAGGCAGGAAAGACGAACCTGAAGAGAACCACATACCTTGTGCTGGATGAGGCAGACAGAATGTTGGACATGGGCTTTGAACCACAGATTAGGAAGATCATTGAACAAGTCAGACCTGACCGCCAAGTTCTTATGTGGAGTGCCACATGGCCAAAAGAGGTAAGCATTTTGTTGTTATCATTTTTATTTTATAAGTATTGGATAGACCTGCACAAATATCCACACTACTCTGTGAATCACTTGGTGTAAAACTGTAGTGTGTAAGAGTGACAAGTCTGATCTCCATTATTTGTACATGTTATTTGTCAGGCTTTTAAGCTAAGCTATCATGTATTTAGGTAAGGCAGCTAGCTGAGGAGTTCCTAGGGGAGTACACACAGGTGAACATTGGAGCTCTAGGACTACATGCCAACCACAACATCTTACAAATAGTAGATGTTTGCGCAGAGCACGAGAAAGACATGAAGTAAGTAGATTAGTAACTGGTCGATTTGTACCCAAATCAACTTGTACCCAAATCAACTTGTACCCAAGACAACTCGTACTGAAGAGTCAACTCGTCACAAATCAATGTTTTTGTTTTGAATCACATTTTTAGCTCACATGGTGAGTTATCACTCACTTGCAATCACTCACTTGTCTGTCTGTCAACAATTGGCCCGTTTGTAAACCTATGTCAATAGGATTCTCGTTTTAAGTTATTTTGTTTAACATCAATTTAGAAAACCCCTTATGACTCCTGGTTCAAAAACTCACCTATTTTCAAAATGGCCGCCATTTTTGTCTCTCGAAATTCACTTTTTGACAATTTGCTTTAAAACCTGTGTCGATAGGATTTCCATTTTAAGTTATTTATGTTTAACATCAATACTCCCCTATGTCTCCTGGTTCAAAAGCTTGCCTACTTTCAAAATGGCCGCTGTTTTTGAGATTAGAAAGTAGGAAGTATTGTTTAATGAAAAAAAGTTAAGAACAAGTCCTTTAAAGCATTTCTTTTATTTCAAAAAAGATGATCCAAGTTAAAACCAAATGCTTTGCTTAATCCATTGAGATAAAATATCTGCTATATTCAAAAAAACATCGAAAGTATTCTTGATTCACATTATAACATTATTATCCAGACTCGGTTTGTTTTACTTATATGCACCCATAGTACTGAAAATAAATTCCTATGTGAAAGGTGATATGGTTTGTGTGACATGATGTTCATTTTATGTGATTGTTCTTAGGCTGGCAAAACTTTTAGAAGAAATCATGGGAGAGACAGAGAACAAGACACTTATATTCACAGAGACTAAGCGTAAAGCAGATGAGCTAACTAGGAAGATGAGGCGGGATGGCTGGCCTGCTATGGCAATACATGGAGATAAATCTCAACAAGAGAGAGACTGGGTCCTAGGGGGTAAGTAGTAGTATTTTTATTATGATATTTTGTAATTAATGGGGGCCAAGGGAACAATATTTCAACCTCAATGTGTTACTACTACTTGAATATATAATGAAGTGCCTTCCAATTGCCAATTGAGAAGTCCAATCCAATTCAATATCTGTGTAATTACATAATGTTTATGGTCAGATTGTGTCTTGGAAAATTGTGGCATATATTGATGTTTGTGTATTGTTGTTTCAGAGTTCAAATCAGGAAAAGCCCCGATAATGGTAGCCACTGATGTTGCTTCAAGAGGATTAGGTTTGTCACGCATTCAGTTTATAACACAATCGCCCACTAACCAATGATTCCAACCAATTATTGTCGATATAATGAGATCAGTAGATAACTTCTGTAGAAATAAGTTGAAATAGCTTTTGTTATTTCATTTATATTATGCTAACATTTCACTTGCACTTCATTTGTAAGTTTCCCTATTTCATCCCACACAATTTTCTCATATTGCATCTAACTTTATTGATTGTATATTGATAGCTATGAAGTTCCTTGTAGATGTTCTCGGAGGATGACAGGGCCAGGTAGCTTCCCAATGGCATGACGTGTTTATCTCTAGAATATAGGGGAGTACAGAGTAATTGATGGTAGTCACAGTGGTCAGTAAGTAGTTGCCAAGACACATACAACCTGTTATCTCACTCACACCAACAAAAATCAGTCATTTTTGTCCATCATATCTGCAGTTACAGAATAATGTCCATGGTGTAAGATTGCACCCATGGTGTAAGATTGCACCCATGCATCTGGAGACAAAGGTTCCATTTTGCCAGTTAAAGTTACCCCAACTTGGCCAAACCTTATATTTTGCAGCAATTTTGTTGGACCTTCAATCTTTATATAGAAATTTAAATTATGCAGAAACCCAAACAATTTCAATTCAAAATTTCTCGCCTGTGTATAATACTCCATTCTGATTTATCAACTCCTAGCCAGCGCATTCTCCAAGTAAATCAGTGGATGTGGAGGAATAAATTAGCCAAGAATGCACCTTCTTATTCTCCTCATGGTAAACTTTGTTACATAAAACTAATATCTTAAAAAACTCTTGTCGATACTTGATTTTATATTGAACACCATTGATTATATTACAGTTTACAATATTCTCTTAATCTCAAATTAAATTTTCATACTAAAATTATCATGCCAAAGTCAATACTTTGTGAGGGAATATTTTGTTAGCTCTTTGTGGTCCAACACATTATGCTATGTGGTCTAACTCATTATGCTTTGTCTACTTAATATCCATGCCACTGCAGGTAATACATTCCCAATGTACCCATGATTTAATTGGTGCATACATTTTTGGCAAGTAGAAAACATTTTCTACAGACATTATCCCAGTATCTATTCCAAGGGATTGTAGAGACTGGGTCCCACAATGATTCCCAAGACTCAAAAGTCAGAAGTTCAACTTGGCAGTTGGATAAGGAGCTTTTAAAATCGAATGAATATGCACATCTCCAAATAATAGAGGTTTTAATGTGCCTCTTGCAAGTTGGAAGTTTCTGTGGAGCCATCAGAAAATAAAATGTTAAGGTACAAGAAGCTATTTGGAACTCTTCAAGTTTGAATTACTGGATTAAAAGCATTTAATAGAGAAAAGTGTTAGCCACTAGTGAGTAAATAAAATAGAAAAAGTAAATAAAGAGTGAGTCCAGAAGATAACAGAACAGTATTATGTGTTATGTATGCAACTACAATGTTAATGAAGACACCCATTATGAGATTCTGTATCACAGCATAAAATCAATTCAGTTTGACTTCACATATGCAGTATTCAAATGAAAAGTACATTGTGACATGTTGAATCTCCGAGTGAGTGTCTTGAGAATGATATGAAGACTACAATATCTAGTAACAGTGTGCAAAAGCCCTAAGCTGTGAGAACTTTAAAATGACCTTTCAGAACCATGGATTTTCTGAATCTCATGCAATACATGAGTACCTGATTTTGCTAGTAAATTCTTGCCAAATTGGAAGACTGAAATGTTGAACAATCAGGTGGTATCATGTACTTGAGGGTGCACACTTAAAGTATTAGTGACTTTGCCTATATACCATCTCCCTATTCTTGTTGAAATATTGGTCATGTCGGGATCCCTGCCTGGAACACAAGACAAGTGCCAAAACAGCTACACCGTATTGTATTATATTGTAATATATTGCTATCATGTTCCATGTAAGGTTTGGTTACCATTCAGAATGGACCTTGTATAATCTGAGCCACTTTATACATGCTATATTATATACTTCTATGAGGACTCTTAACTACACTGCTCATTCAACTTTTCTATTACACTGATCATATGAATTAGACATTTTGACACGTGTGTGGCCTTCCCCAAGGCTGAAAAATTGAAAGATCCCAATTAATAAGTTGAGAGTTTATGAGTATATTGGTCTCTAACACACAGAATCCTGCTGGACATTGTATTAGAAAACTTGCATCTATAAAGCTCCTGAAAAAACTTGTATTGGATCTAAAAGAAAGTCTTAAGATAAGGGATTACTCAGCCATGTCCTGTTGGGTTCTATATTCCATTTAATAAAAGTAGAAAAGCGAACTTAATTCTTGGTTGAGCTTGTGTAATCACACAATGTTCCCAGAATAGATTGCCATAGTTCTCACCAAATTATGTTGCAGGCATTTAGTGTGTTGTAATTTTTGTATAAAAGTGGCAATATTATTGACAATGTCTTATCTACAACTTTCTGATGCATGCTCCTCTCAGTAGAGGGCTCTGCTCCCTCAGTTATTCATAAACTCATAATGGACACTAGCTCCTCTTTGGGGAGAAATTCTCCTGGGGGATAATATTCTCCTGTGGGGACAGGTCTCCTGTGGGGGAGTCAAGTGTCTCCTGTTGGAGAGAGCAATCTCCCTCGAGGACTCTGGGTCAAATAAGCAGAAAATGTCTTGGTAAGTACTAACACACCCAGAGTTGTGTCCAAAATAAATCAATTTTGGTTTTAAGTTAAGAATCAGTGGAGTGTGCATTAGAGTATGTTAAATGGTAACAATTATTTACATCGAATCATATTCTGCATTTTCTTCTATAACACTTTATTTTACAGTTTTCTTGATCTGAGTATAGCTGAAGAGGAGACTGCTGGGCAGAAATTTACATGCTACCACCCCTAATATAACCTGTTGAGTGTCAAATGGGTAAAATAATTTATAAAACATGGTCTTAGGGGTGTTGGCATCAGATAAAAGCATGTCCTTATGTTTTGTCTTGTTTTATTTTCAAACAGATGTTGATGACATTAAGTTTGTCATAAACTATGACTACCCTAACAGCAGTGAAGACTATGTACATCGTATAGGACGAACTGCACGCAGCACAAAGACAGGAACAGCATATACATTCTTCACAGCAGGCAATATGAAACAAGCACGTGATTTAGTGAGTGTACTGAGGGAGGCAAAACAACAGATAAACCCAAAACTTGAACAAATGCAGAGTATGGCAAAGGACGCCTTTGGCCGAGGTACATAAACTTCTCTTTCATAATCAACATTCATTCCTCTTTCATAATGATATAACTGTCTGGAATTTTGGTAGTTTATCCATAATATATCTTTTCACATATATTCTGTTTTTTGCACAATCTCAAGGGTTGGGGAAAACAGGCATTTTCATTGATTTTGAGATCTTTGATGTTTACACTTAAGAGTAGATTGCGAATATTGAACTGTTTTTCTGATCCATGCCTCAAAAAATTCAAAATGGCTGTCCAAAGTGGGAATTACCTATGATTTAGACTACATCTCTTAAAAGTAGGTATAATTAAGTTCGATTTGATTAAACATATTTTATTGTCTATATGATTCGTGCCTTTGATACATCCAAATGGTCACAAATGCTTGAATTTAGGTAAATTTTAAAATATCTTCAATGTCTGTCTTCAATTATCTGCAGATCAATGGTTGAGTAGATGGTAGATATTATTATATCAAACTTAACAGATCTATGAATTTTTTCCTCATTGGGATTTGCTACTCTGTTGAGTTAAATTTTTCTAGTCAATTTTTGGAAAAGCCAGAAATTTTCAGGTCATAACGATGAATAAAAGTTATCAAAAAACAATACAGTGAAGTGCTAAACCTGCAATTTATACTAGCTATATGATTTTGAGATAACCATGGCAGTTTGTTGATTTGTCTAGGTGGTAGATGGCAAGGTAGATCAAGAGGTGGTCGTGGAGGTGGCAGTAGTAGCTTTTCAGGCAAATCATCATATGGAGGTAGTTCATCTTACAGAGGATCTTCATCATATGGGGGCTCATCCAATGGAAGCTCAAGATATTCAAATGGGGCAGCATCCAATGGAACTGCAAGGAACAGTTATGGTGGAGCCAGCAAATTCCAAAGCAGTGGAGCATCAAACTTTAATAGGTAGAGAGGCCCAACTGTTAATTTCTCATTCTCCTCTATGTTATTGCAAATGGACTATTTTAATACGATGCATTAATGTAAATTAACAAGGAATAGCAGTTCAGTTTTTGCCTGCAGAAGTAAGGTTGCTTTTCAATGTTCTATACTGCATGGACTTGAAAGTCAATTTGCTAAGCCTAAATGATTTCAATTAAACTACCATTATCATATGGCCACAAGTACATATAGTCCTTATTCAATCAGCATGATCCCAAGTCAGTAATGTATTAATCCCATGATACTCCATGAATATTCAACGCATAAGATTAGTTGAAAATAATTTACTTAAAAAGCTGAGATATCTTGAGATACAAAAGTTAATAGTAAAGCAGAATTGTTACAACTGTTGTAGTCATGAGACACCAGGCTTATATCAACAATAGTCATAAGATGCAACTATTATGACATCCATAGTCACAACACAAATTCTTGTGATACTTGTAACATCTGCACTTGAGACAATAGTCTTGAGCATCTCAGTCTTGTGCCATTTATAGCCATGAGATGCCATTCTTGTGACATCTGTGCCTCCAAAAGCTTAGTCCAGTCTTGCATGTTGTAATTAACTCTGATGATGACAGTGTTTTGTCAATATGCACTGTTTTCTTAGTTGGGCCTTCTACCTATATAAAGCTCAATCAAGTTCATGTTACACTCACTGGTTTGTTACCTTGTTTGCCGTCTTAATGCCAGTATTCTTTGGGGAGAAACCTCAACGTTGCTTGATGAAACATTAATTGTTAGAAGTGAATTACCATCGGTGAGGGTAGTTGGCAAACTTGATGCAACTGTGAGTGTAGCTTGGAGTGATGGATGGAATATATTTAGAAGTACATTTTTAGTATGTTAAATGTGCCTCTAATCAATGAGTCATTTACACTTCAGACAGACATGGTTTGATCAAGGAGTGAGAATAGTGCATTTGATTTCCAGGTATACCCTGATCATCATGCAGAGAAATGTAACAGTGCTGTGTTTAATACTTTCTTAATTTGTGTATTTTCAGGCCGCAGGGGGGGATTCCGCAGCAGTGGTAGCAGTGGAGGGGGAAGGTTTGATAGCAGGGACAGTGGCAGGTCCAGTTTCTCAAGTAGGGGGGGTGGGGGATCGAAGTTTGATTCAAGTTCTAGGGGAAGTGGAGGCTCACGCTTTGATTCAAGAGGAGGGGATTCAAGATATGATTCACGTGGGGGTGGATATAGCAACAGAGGGAGGCCAGATTCTAGTTCAAGGGGAAGTGGAAGTTTTCATGGAGGGGCACGTGGGGCACCAAGCTCCAGAGGGGGTGGAGTACCATCTAGAAGTGGAAGTAGGTTTGACCAGCAGGATAAATCTGGGGGTCGTGTTAGTAGGTTTTCTGGGGGTGCTTCAAACAGTGACTCCACTCCAATCAAGCCATCGAGTGGTGCAAGCTCTGGGGGCTCAGTTCCTAGTCTTCTCAACATGAACACTAGTAGAGGTAGCAACTCTGCCCCTCCCACACAAAATAAACCTGCACACAATAAACCAACAGATAATGGACAGGCTGAACAACAGAATGGTTACAGAGGATACCAGCAGGGTGGAGCAGCTAGCCAGGGGGCCCAACCCCCTGCTCAGGGGGGTCAGGATATGGCCAGCATGCAACAACAGGCAGCCTATGCCCAGTGGTATAACCAGTGGTACCCCCAGGGCCAGCAACAACACCAGCAACCTGTCTCGTCTACAGCTAATCCACCTTTACCTCCAGGCCCTCCACCCTCACAGCAACCAGCCAAGTCTTACACGGGATACCAGTACCAATAAACATTAAAAGGTCTGCTCTAGAGATCAATGACATTGTAAATAAAATATCTCTATCTGTAACTGTTATTCATTTGCTAGTACTGACAGATTTGGTAGCGGTATCTTCTCTGAATCCACTAAGAAGTGTGTGGACATTGTAAATAGAAGTGGGTCCTTGTACTAGTATTTTATCATAGTATCTTGTTCGTGTATTTATAAAATCTGTGGGATTACCTATCTAGTTTTTGCAATTTCTCATTTACTACTACATTCAATTTCTAATGACTTAGCCTTTAGTGTCAAGAAAATCTGGTTTTCTCCATATAGTGAAATTCATTATTGTAAATAGAACTGGATGTAAGGATAATAGATAATAAATTTAGTATTGTCGACTTGTACTGCTGCTGTGTCAATCCTGAGCATCTCTAGATATGAATATAAACATTCCCAGTTTAAAAATTAAAAACCAAAAGTCTAGGGCATGAATAATTTTTAGTGGGAACAATCCGCAACGCACATTTTAATGTAAGAGGAAATTGAAAGGATGTCATTTTACAAACTGATGCAACAAAACTTCAATGCATATTTCGTTTAAAATGATACTCAAGTTTTGATAGTGAAAGTTGAAAATATCAACATAAGATCTTGTATATGTACACATGTAAGTTATTTTAGTTATAAATAAAGTACAACTATTGTAATATAAAATATTTATTATGTGGATGTTTGTGGTGAAATCGAATATTAATTTATATTACTTTCCTCAAATCACTAACCAAAATAACTTACTTTTTCGAGCTTTCGGTAGCAGCTACTACCTTTGTCAAGATGATATATTGGCGGGAAATGGGCTGACCCTTGACCTGGTTTGGGTTTTACTCCTGTGTAGTTGCTAGACAAGGACTATGTTGATGAATTCACTGATTTCATCAACCAGATTGATCCCGATATCAAATTCACCAGTGAAAGTCTTAAGGACGACAAGTTACCTTTTCTAGACACTGTTACAGAGTTAGTGAAATGTAAGGATAGTGCAGACAGATTTTTAGATAAAAGTGTGTATCGTAAGCCAACACATAGGGACCTTTACTTACGATTTGATTCTCATCACCCCTTGACAACAAAAAGAGGTGTAGTTAGGACGTTAAACAAACGAGTCACAGAGATAGTGTCTAACTCTACTAAGCTTAAGGATGAGCAGGCCCATATCACTCGAGCTCTCTCTCGTTGTGGCTACCCATCTTGGCTTCTAAACCAAGCACCAGCTACGCCTAGAGATAGACCTCCTAGTGACAGTGTAGATAGGGAAAGTGTAGTCACTTGTCACTTGGTCACATTTGCTCCCATTTTCACTACGGCACTTTGATTTGTATCATACATGTCCTACTACATTAAACAAAACTGGGTACAACTGATGCTTAGGTAAAATTTCAGAAGACCGTAGACCTGTGTTATGGCTGTATGGTACAACTGAACTCTAATGTGCCATGTGTAGCTATTGTTTTCAAAGTTAATCAAGGAAAATCTGTTAACTACAAACATCGACCTTTGGATTTTCTTAGGTGAAGACACAAATTAAATCTATTTGCCTACCCAAAAAGCGACAAAATATTCGCCCTAACAATATCACTGAATGTGTTTTCATATCAATGACGTATGGTATACACGAATGAGTTGGCCACAGTGAACTCGCTGAAGACCAGACAAAGTGATTATTTTTGGACATCCCTGGCCTTTCCTTTAGTGCTTGTGGTAGTGACATCTTTTATTCATAATTTTAAAAACCTCAATTTTCGTCCTCGGGAATATGATATGAGGGAATGTTTCATAACGAGGACAGTTTTGTATCCTATTTGAGGGGGTTAGTCCACTCGGGTCCCCGAATGTCCCCCCTGAATAAATACATTTTTAAGGGCATAAGGTTATTACGAGCACATTTACTATATTTATTAAACATAAATATGAAAGATTTCAAAACTACATAGCAACATCGAGGTGTAGCAAATCCGGTCGAACTTTTGACCACAAAATCGTTCCACTACTTTTCAAGTTTTAGTAAAAAAGTAAAATAACACACTTTAAAATAGAGGCCACTTCTCAAAATGGCCACCTAGCCAATGCGCCATGCTTACTATATCTATGAATATGAAAAAATCGCTCCATAGCCTATTACTCTTCCCAGTTACAGCAACAATCGTAAAATTGCAAAATGGTTTTTTAAACATTTAAATTTTCAAATTAATCGATATCCTATATATTTTTTTGCATTCAAAACATAGTAACAATACTTAAAATATATATTTAAATATTCTTAAAATCGGCTTTCGAGCAGAACTTGTGCTCCCATGGGCCATATACAGTGGGGATCATAAAGAATTGCAAAAGCTATGAAAATTACATGCTGTCGCACATGTAATAAATTCTTACCTCAGTGTATTCAGTGCTCTATTTTCTCCGTCTTAGTAAGTCCAAATATAGTGGGATTTGTGTCCCTAATGACAAATAAGAACTTCAAAAGTTGAATTGGATATTCACATGTTATACCGACTCTTCAAATGTTGAGGTGATTTTGTCGCCCGATTGCACCGGAATGGAGGATTGGCTCCCAGAATGCAACATGACACGTGCCAGCTTTCAAAATGCTGTTCCGACATTTTGAAACCTGTCATGAGTAAATACGGTTAACTGATGTTGCATTCTGGGAGTCAACCGTCCTTGGATAACAAACATGGCGATTCATGAAAACATTCATTCGATTTGGTAGGGATTTATCCATTATTTGCAGGTATGAAGCTTTGGATTCATTTATTGTGCTACTTTAGTGAACGGGAATTATTTTTCTACCGCTTTGGAGAGTTTGAGACACGAAACTTGGAAATAAGCTCATTGTGACAACTTGTGAACGTTGAGTTTTATTTTTGTCCCCCACTGTACACATACATTTAAACGATATTGGTCCAATGGTGCCTTGAGTTATTGTCTGGACGGACGGATGGACATGCGTACTTAATTAAAATTTTGACGCACATTTAATTGTCTTCCATTTCCGATTCTGATTTCACGAAATGCGATGGTACGTTCAGACCCTTGGGGTTGCTATTTGGAAGTGATTGTTTTTTCTGATTTGCTTAAAATATTGCAAACAAAGGGACGCAAAACAAATAATATAATATAATCATCAATTTTCGACCTATAGTAATTGAGGGAAAAAATTAGGAAAATCTGGAGGTATTGGAAATAAGGTCAAGTTACGTTTCCATCAATATTATAAGTTGTTATATCGCAGGTTAAAGTGTATAATCCTTCCATCCAAGTTTTCATTGAGTAAGATTAAACCCAGTCCGAAGGGAGAGGGCGTTGGTGGCGACCGCCCTACTTCCTTTTTATCCTGATTATCCTTTTTACCCTAAGGTGCTATATTGTAATCAGTTTGCCAGGGGCGGGCGTCCCGAATAATCTTGTCTACAGGTTTCCAGCCAAACCGTTTGAGGGATTCATTTGAAATTCTCAGGGATGTTTCTATCTAAAAAAGTTTAGAACCGATTAGTTTTTCGGCATTCTGGGTAAATGTTAAGGCGGCCATTTTGGATTTTCCGTCCTAAAATCTTGTCTGTCAAGGCTTGTCTACAGGTTTCCAGCCAAACTGCGTTTGGGGGATTCAATTGAAATTCTCCGGGATGTTTCTACCTATAAAAGTTTAGAACTGATTAGTTTTTCGGCATTCTGGGTAAATGATAAGGTGGCCATTTTGGATTTTCCGTCCTAAAATCTTGTCTGTCAAGGCTCGTCTACAGGTTTCCAGCCAAACCGTTTGAGGGATTAATTTGAGCCCCAAATATATTTTGAAAAGAATACGATCATCATTGATTATCGAAATACGATCAATGCCCGCAAAACATGGATTCAATCATCTTTTTATTGACCCATGAACTGTGCGTTATTAGGTATATAGCGAGTTTAATTACAGCATTGGATTTTCACGAAATGGAACGCCAAGCCTAAATAAATCTTGTGGTCCCTCTCTCTCTCAAAATGTTCAAAGAACATATTTTTGTCAGCACTTTAAAAAGTATATTCGTGGCACTTGTTTCGAGGAACTGATCGTGAATAGTAATTACAAAAACCCTCTAAAACATAAACATACTAAATGCATTTTTTCAGAAGCATAGACAATTCACCAAGCAACAGAACGTATAAATACCATATACAAGACAATTCCAAATTGTTATTTTTATCACGTCGAAAGTGTTAAGTGTACAATTCGCAATCGTTCACCTATATAGTGATTATAAGACAAGTCCAGTTTGTACATATCGGTCATTTATGGTAAATTGAAGGTACAGATATTTGAATATTGTAGTGAATAGTGTTCCACGTTATAAAATGGTTTTTGTATAAACCTAGTTAACTGATAAATATGATATATGATGGCACGATCGCCAAAATAGACACGGGGGTATGAAAAAGAATGTCTTAGGTAAAAGTTAGTGTATGTATTTTTCTAAATGATTGAATTGTAGTATGTTTTTGGGCCATTCTGATGAATGTCTCATCTCATTCCCCTACAAAATGAGTCCAAATGGTTGTGGAAAAGAAGTCCGGAACGATTTACATTTGTAGTAGTTATGCTCACCGTAATTTGAACGTGTAACTTAAGCTCTCCAATGATTGTTTATTTGTCACGTTTGAATGTTCTTGAACTGGTGTTTTCCTCATTTCCCACGGGGACCATTGTCTGAAGACAGATGAATAAAGAGCAATAAAGCAAATCCAGAGTTAGTACATCGCGAATTAAATATATTTTATCCTATCACTCCTATCAACCTAAATCAGATCTAGATAATGTGAAGTATTTGAATTGAACCGCACAATAACTACACCATCAACATGAATAAACTTGGAATCTTCTGTGGGAATATTTAAGCAAATCAAAGGTGTAGATATTGAGCCTTAAATGATCGGTGGACACCTAGTATACTGAGTTGGCGACTATTATAGCCTTCTGAGTTGGCGACTACCAGATGATGATCATGGTGATATTAGTAATCCTTACCAGTATCATAGTGTCATCGTCCACAAGTTCTCTTGTAATGATAGATTCTCCTGGGCCTTTCTGGTGTTTCACAAGCTTCCCGTCTTTAATAGAGAATGTACTCTGGAAACAGGTGAAGCCATATCATGTGTTAGAAAAATAAAAAATCTAGGATACGATTTGAAAAATATGGTAGCCTAAACTAAAAATGTTTAAAAGCATAGACAGATTAACAAAAAAAGTATCGAAAACTGACAGTATCAGAATGATCGGAGATTTTATTCATTCCCCAATAGGAAAAAAATATTAACCACGCATTTCCTTCCATCAGCAGTTACTTCATCAAATTCTTCATCCAGTTTGAAAATACTTTGAGTATTCCTAAATGTCGACGTGACATTCAACGTCCAGGAATCGCCATCTTTAATGATTCGTTCATGCGTTGATGTCACACTTCCTATCTTGCGCGCTGCAAAACCAACACCTGAAATCATTTGATGGAAGCAGCATTTACATGGCATGTTAAAGGGTGACGCATATCGTTTAGCAAATCGAACGCTCGTTTCTGGTGTTGCTCACCGTTTAGTATAAAAGGCCCGATCCCGGAATAATACTCAAGGGTTCACAGGTTCGAGATCGTTGTGTCAACACCTCTAACTGTTATATAGCATAAGTATATTATAGATCGTCACACATTTATAAAAGGGTGATTTTTATTTTGACAAATCAATTCCACATTTATGGATGAAGTTTCAGGATCTTCTATTTGTGTATAATAAGGAAAAATTGGCATCTAAATTTCCCCATAACGTAATAGCACACAGCTTGGCATATGAAATATCCTACAAATGAAACAAAGCAAGACAAACCGGTTTCTAATACAAGGATTTATATTGGCTGTTGTACATGTATTCTTTGAACGCAATCACTCTTTGGATAACGTTTTCAAAATCATTATAAACGGATTACTTTATCTCAAAGACAATTTCAATAAACTGGATTTTACAGAACTCCCCTTATTTCTTAAAAATGGACTGATCCAGTTGATTCTTCTAACAGATCAGTCACAGCCTCTGAAAGAGCTAGATGATCTAAGGCTCTAGCTTTAGGCTAGTCTAAGTCCTATAGATCTACATGTAGTAGTCTAGGCCTAGAATCATAGCCCAGGCATAGGCCCGTAAAAATGTAAAGAAATAAAGCTTACAGCATGTTCTATAAGTGAATTTGACTCAATGTTATACATGTTCCGGGCCTATGCCTAGTACAGTCCCGCAGGACGAAGAAGATAGAATGTAAAAATCAAATTGAAAATCAAAATAATCGAACGAAAAAAAATTGAAAAAGTTGAAAATTCGATTTCGATTCAATTTGATTTTCTGCCATTATAAATGAAATACTGTACTTACCAACATGTTTCTCGGATATATATGTTGTTCTTACTTTATCTTCGCCGAAGATCGATGTTTATTTATATATAACAAGCATATTGAACATAGACTATATTGATGCGTGATTGGGCTGACAAAAAATCAAAACTATCAAATGGCTGTTAAGAATCAGACCGACTTGATAGAAGAGTTCATTTGTCCCCAAAGCCACTGAACCTGTTGCAATACATTCCGTCATTCTTTCAGAAAATTGCTCAAGCATATTGAACATAGACTTATTGATGCATGATTGGGCTGACAAAAAATCAAAACTATCAATTGGCTGATAAGAATCAGACCGACTTGATAGAAGAGTTCATTTGTCCCCAAACTAATATTCAATCCACGATTATCTGTTATAGTCCTGGTACAGGATATTATAGATATAGATCAATGTGAAGATTAAACAGTGCAATACACATGAAACTGTGTGACGAAAGAATACAAATACTCAGTAGGTACGGTAGGCTGGTAGACTATAGCTAAATTGAATGTTGTTCAATTTGAAAAAATAATTTTCTAGAAGGGTTGGTGGAAGTTTGGAAAAAATATGAATCGGTATCCATGTTATCTTATGTCAAACTTGTCCTTTGTAAGTTAAATGTAAACATATCTTAGATTAAATCGAGGAATCGTTCAAAAATAAACCCAGTACTAAAACTTTTCGAAACCATGTAAACTGCTAAGATGACGTCATTTATATCCGGGATTGCTTTGCAAACTCCACACAACAGACTGTCCCAGCTTTTCTCCTGCTTTCTCCTGATGCAATTCATACATTACTCGGAGATTACTGTCAAACGTTCCAAGTTTTACAATTTTAGCATGTTTATTACGATCTAATTCCTGCCAGTATCAATGAATAAATCTATTGACCAACAGATTGGAAATATGTATTCCAGCGATACCCTAATTTTGACGAATGAATGGTACAAATATGTCCACTAATTATCGAGATATCGTGTAGAAAAATCGAAGAAAGACATCGCTTAAGAAATTTCTAGACTGAACTGTTCACGCTCGCAAGTGGCATCTCCATCTCCATATATGGGCAAAAAGGTGGGGTTAACAATAAGCAATGCAGGGATTGACACGATTGACACGAACAAGTCTCGATGAATCTCGCTTAAACTCCGCCCCTTCTTCGTGAAAAATCACGTGAATTCCGGCTTTTGCTGGGACATATCCGGGCATCTCGGCTTCGAACCCAATCAGAAGTTTCAATTTTGACTGGCGCCGCATACATTATCTCAAGTCTCACCCAATATTTTTATGTATACGTTAACAATCGAATAATCGACATAATTCAAACTCATCACTACGACACCCGGGCTCCATTTAATTCAACACGCACTTAAGACGGGCCCCTTGGACCAAGCCAAAATATATCACCGGAGTTTTTCGTAATAGGTAGTTTCTGATCGAATTTTTGTCAAATCAAAAAAATAAATTACTCGGCAATAGGTTATTAAGATGAATATTGGCGAGAGGTGTACACTGACAAAGAATGGTTGAACTAACTACATAAACGTCAAAGATCTAGGAAAAAACCGATGAAAATCTCCCCTAAAAAAGACCCCTTCGAAAATGGCATTCTCCATTTAGGGCAAAAAGGCGGAGTTATAAGCGGACTGACACTTTCCTTAAATGGAGAAGTCTCGATGGATCTCGCTTAAACTCCGCCCCTTCTTCGTGAAAAATCACGTGAATTCCGGCTTTTGCTGGGGCATATCCGGGCATCTCGGCTTCGAACCCAATCAGAAGTTTCAATTTTGACTGGCGCCGCATACATTATCTCAAGTCTTACCCAATATTTTTATGTATACGTTAATTAATAATCATGTCATATTACAGTGTTAGTCGATGTACAGAAAATTCCAACTACAAAACTCTACATCAGTTTCACATGTTAGGAATAAAAACAAAACAAAGATGTACACATTTGAAAGAACATGTGTTTCATCAGTATTACGACAATTCCAGATATTTATTCGTCAATGTTGTAAAAATCATTCGGAGTATGGGACGTCTTAGCATTGTTTTCAATAACTTTCAATAACTTCGTATTGGACCAGAACTGGCTTAAAACAAAATTCCTACAAAGGACTGATTTAGCCATTGCCCAAGATGGGTTATTTTGTCCGAGAAGAAGCAGCTTTTAAGTTAATTGTGCGAAATTATTGTTATTTCTAAATGTAAAATCTCATGCTCTGGGGTCTTCCCAAAATCTCATCCCGTGCCTAAGGTTGCCAACCGTTTTGAGGGAAGTGTAACTTCACTATGATAAGGCTCTCGTGTTCACCAAAACAAACATCAATTCATTTACTGCTCATATATATATATATGTAGTTTTCAAATAGCACAGTGATTTGATGTTTCTGGTTATGTGCATTTTTCCCCAAAATGATATTTTGGGAAATCCTGACCGGGGGTTCGTTCGAACCCACCGAACCCCCGCTGCCTACGGCTATGGTATATATAGCCTTAATATAAAATCGTCACTACAAAGTCCAGGAAATACAAGATGTGCATTGTCGAATTGCAGGTTACATCCTAACGTTGACCATATGGAGATAATTAAGGAAAATGATCGAATGATACGTTAATCACAGTAATTATTCATTTAACCTTCCTGACCATGTCGTCACCTGACTGAAGCATTGGTTAAATATCTTCTCCCTGCATTTGAACGGAACTTATCCCTGGGGAATGTTTTGATGTTACATGATTCTCCAGTTACAAATTATTCTATTTTATTAACTATGTGATGAGAATCATGGTATGCGGCGAATAATTCAGCATCAAAACATCCGCCTTGTTGGCCTAATTACATATAACATTCATGAAAGGAATGCTCAAACATTATATATAATTGACCACAGGAGGCGAGTACCAATTGGCAATCCGGAATTGTTGGCCAATGAGAGTCAACTTCGTAAAGATAGACCACTGAAGCTTAGTTTGCAGGTGATGCTGCTTTTTGCTAGAATCGTATTTATTTCCATTTATGCGTCATACCGTCACAACTCACAACTGACGTCGCTGGAACACTATTAACGTGACAGCTGCTTCATATGATAGCATACAGTTGCTTCAGCATGCCCAAGACACACAAGTACAATGGTCAGATTCGCATCATTACAATCATAAAAATTGAAAGTGCCAGTGTTCATTGGTAGGATAGACACTGGAAATGCTACAGAAGGATATTGATCTTGAGACAAATTGTATCAATAAGTTTAAACGTTTCCACGACTGCGTATTTGAGAACGTTAATTCTACGGTCGAGGGAGACACATCAGGATTGTAAAGGGAATAAGCCGAATGGCTGAAAACGTGGCAAGATCATGGTATGACATACTGTACATCATTTTCTTCAGAAAGAATTATACCGTGCATCGAAATCAAAATTGCCAGCATAGTATTCAATAGACATGAGTATAATGATTCCCGTTGACACCAACGTGAAATTGAAAATCTCCCGTTCTAAACACGAAATTGAAGCTTATCGGGTATCTGAATTGGATTGCGCTTGTTTTATATGCGCGCTATACACAGTAACTGTATTGATTCATTGACTGCGTTCACGTTTGCGTTATCAAAAACATCGCTTGCTTAAAGTCTCCAGTATCACATATTTTGATCTTGTATAGACATATATAAGACCTAAACAGCCATAACAAAAATAAAATGGCCTCTATTTAACGTCTACATAAAAATAACTTCCGAGACTTGAGAATTTGCATTAAAATTGAAACTTCTGATTGGGTTCAAGGAGGATTGGAAGCCACTATTCAAACTCGATACTCCGTTGCCCGGCGTAGACCAATTTGGTAACAGTACTACTCATATCTTGTAGAGTAGAACTGCCGAGGAAGCTTGACTACTAGCCTACCAAAATATTCGTACGTAATGACCATCTTTCAACGAAATACTTGGTTCAAAGAGAAGCTTATAGAAATATTTTTACTAAATTGTTCCACTGCAGAGAACGAAGAATCAAATTTGAATAATTGCTGCCAATCCTCGATTGGGTTTGGAGGCGAAGTCTCGCGAGTTGCCCGGATATATCCGAGCAATGGCCTCAATTCGCGTGCTCAAAGATTGGAGACTTAGTTAATCTTGCAATGTTTTTCACAACGTAACCGTGAACGCAAAGTCAAGTAATGTGTATAAAGCTTACTTACGGTACTTAAAAAAGGATCGTACATTGTATACTGGTAAGGTCGCAGGACTTAACGTTTTTTGGCCATTGTTCCTTTAACCCGTGCATCTATAGGGTCATACTGCCACGGTTTTAATGTCTTTCCCAGTCACATGCCTCTTAACCCATCCATGGCATGCATGAGAATTGTTCTTCAGCTTTTCAATGGCCTCTGAGAAGACTGTTTGGACCTCTTGAAAATATCTAGACTTCCAACAACGCGAACATTAGTTCTGAGCTCGCGAACTACATTCCTTGCGCTCGAACCACGATTCTCACGTCGAAAGGTGACATCTTTAGTCGCGCACCACCATTTCCACACTCCCGAACATATTTCTCCACTCGCGAAAATAGCAGGCCTGTCAACTGTCCCGCAATTTGCGTATTTGTCACGCATTTGCTGAAGAATTTGAAGTCACGCCAGTTATTTTTGCGTGACAGAAAAGATCGTCTACACAGCAAAAATACGAACGACGGGAAAAAAACGTACGCATTTCGTTCGGACTTTTCACGCGAATTACGGATATGTCACGCATTCCGTTCGAAATATTTCGTACCACCCCCTCCCCCCCCCTTGATGGATGTTTGAAACGCGAGCGTAGCGAGCGCGAAAAATTTGAGGTGTTCAAAATTTGGCAAGATGTAATAAAATTTAAACCAAGGTTTTCAAAATTTGGATTAAGGTGTTCAGATTTGGACCAAGGTGTCCACATTTTGAGGGGAGGTGTTCAACATTTCCAAGTCACTCATGTTAGGTGTTCCCAAGTTGACAGGCCTGAAATAGATCCGTGCTCGCGAACAATTTGTACATAGTGCCTCCGGGTATTTGGGATTCCAATTGCAAGCAACAACAGGAGTCTGGTTGCAGTTTACATTGACACTTATACATGTACACATATATTTCAATAGAGTCATAAACTCTCCGCAGCCAATGAAAAGCTTTTATTGCCTAGCCCCTTCACTGAAATGTCAATGCGTGGGATCGCAAAGTAGTCCAAATGTTTTGTGTTTCCTGGAGCTTGAAGATGCTGTTATCTTCAATTTGTGGATATTCATTAACATGCACGGAAAGTATTTATTACGATTTCCAAATAAAAACACTTCGTTGGAATTTTAGTTATGCGTTTTTCGATCGGGTGTGTGGTTCGAGTGCAAGGAACGCAATTCGCGAGGTCAGAACTGATGTTCGCGTTGTTGGAAGTCAAGGAGGCCTAAGTAACGGACTAAGTAAACACTGTAACCGAACAATTATTTATGTGAGAAAACTAAATGCATTTGTACAGGAAATGTCAATTCCTTGATTGTTAACTATAAACTCCACCTTTTGCCCATTTATGGAGGATGCAATTCGCGAGTTTACAGTTTAGTGTTGAAGTGGGATTTTCCTCGTGTTTTAACCGATTTCTCGATAGTTCATGAATATATTTGCATCATTCTTTGACAAAGTGAAGATATAAACGGTATACATCTTGAAAATTTGTTGTCGAGTAGTTTAGTTTTTTGGTTTTGGCAGAAATTCGATCAGAAATCTGAAATATTTTTGAAAATTGCGAAAACAAACCTTCAGAGATAAATCTAGGCTTGTTAAATTTAATAAATACTTTATCAAATTATACGGATCATAAGGAAAGAGTGTGAGACGAATCTTTATGGAAACTCCGAAATATACCAAACGGTACTGTAACCATGGAGAATGTTTATCATATTTGATAGAACTTTTACACACACACAACTTATTGCACTTTGAGCGAAATTCCTTATAAATTGTGACCAAAAAGTCGTACATATGTCGCACAAATTTTGGTTTTGCAGGTCCAAAAATGCCACCCATACACGTTTTGTCATATCTGCTGTTGTGGACCCGAGAACAGGTAGAGAACTTTCGCTGAAAGATGCAGAGCTTCACTCCATCATCAGTCAAAAGAAGGGACAGTATATGAACCCTGAAACAAGTAAGCCATTTAACCACTACCTATTGAAATACAAATATTTAACATGTTGAATGATGTGGAGTTGAATATCTGTATATAAAATTTTGAGGGTGTATTCACGCCCAACCATCGACAACGTACAATGACAAAATATACCGTCGTACACTTTAGATGTACTATTAACTGATTTGAAGCGAAAACTGTGATGTAGGTTTGATGTAGGTTTTAAAAAATTAATTTGAGGAATACATAACAAGAAGATTTCATGTTTGATTTCGTGTGTATTCGCTTGGAAAGAGTTTTAGCTTTCTGATTATGTTAAAAGAGTTTCGAGCAGCGTTCGATTTTTTCGTAGTAAATCTACCCACAAAAATTGATTGGTTGGAAAAGGTTTGGTCATTTTTTCCCCTGTCGCCTAAGAGTGTCGATTATTTTTATGAGAATATGTTTCTCTAAACTTATACACAATTTAGGATGAGTGAAAATTTGATAAATATTATGTATTGGGCATAATTTAAAAAAATCAGAAATCTACGTTGTCCACTGTACGGTGTCAGTGTAATTGAAATGCACGAGATTTAATATTAAACAATGCAATAATTCTATTTAAAAATTCATTCAGGTTTTTAATGAGTAACAAGTTATGTTCAACGAACATGTTCAAGTATCCATAATACAGATGTTGCTAAACATAATGCTATTTTATTTTATGAAAGTGTTGATGTGGTGATCAATATGTGACCATGTTAGCTTCCAACCTCTTGATCATTTGACGTTTGTACGTCTGTACAGTTTTATGAAATTTGATAATCTGAAGAAGTTCTATACCTTACTAGCTTGTCAAAGACGACTTTTTAAAACACCGTTTATGTGACAAGTGCAAAGGTTCAATAGTTCACTCAAGTTGAAGTAATACTGTAATTATTCAGTTTCAGTTTTAAATGCATCTGACCCCCTACCCGTTAGTGTTATAAAAAATACATTGTCTACATTAGGATTAACCTTGAATTGAAATATTTAAGTTCAATTGGACAACGTACATCGAGTTGACAACGTACACTTATGATTTTTTTAAATGTAGCCAAAACGTAAATATTGATTAAATCTTCAACCGACCTAAATTGTGTAACTTAGTGAAACATATTTTCATAAAAATAATCGGCACTCTTAGGCGACAGGGGAAAAATGATCAAAGGAAATGTGAAAAAACAACATTTTCTGACCGATAAATTTTGTGGGTAGATTTACTCCGAAAAAAATCTTTTAACATAATCAGAAAGCTAAAAGTCTTCCCAAACGTAAACACATGAAATTAAACGTGTAATCCTTTGTGTATTCCTCAGATTAAATTTTTAAAACCTACATCAAACCTACATCATAGTTTTCGCTTCAAATCAGTTAAATAGTGTCACCGTACATCTAAAGTGTACGACAGCATTTTGTCACTGTACGTTGTCGATGTTTATAAAAAATGGTTAGTACGTTTTCCAAACGAAAACACATAATTAAATAAATATTATAATTATAAATATAAGTACCTGGTAGGGGATTCGGACCTAAAGCAAATTAAGAATATATAATAAATCGATCATTACCAGCTCCTATATCCATTCAGCCACAGCACTTGGGATGCAGACACCGAATTTAACTTCTGCTAAACCTTTTAAGGTACAGCTGGAAAGTAACATTTTGGTAAAAAATTGCAATACCTGCACATGTTATTTTCTGGTTCAAAATAAAGTATGAAGGCATGTGTCAATTTCCTTGCTTTTTTCAGGAAAGTATCATTACATTGTCTTCTTTTAGAATTTAATGGGAACTCCAGGAAATTCCGATATTTCACATTTTTATTTTTCCAAATTTTCTTTCAAAGTTCCCAGACAACACAGGAGCTACAATTGACCTGTTTCCAGGTTTACTAAAAGTAGACAGTGTAATGATACTTTCCCGAAAAAGCAAGGAAATACACACATGCCTTCACACTTAATTTTGTACCAGAAAATAACATGTGCAGGTATAGAATTTTTTTACCAAAATGTTACTTTCCAGCTGAACCTTAAACTAGATACTAAACATTATTGGAACACAGGAAACTATTAACCTCGCTTCTGTTGTGACAGAAATGGTTGTCCAATCAGGGTTGATTGTCCCACGGGCACTATAACCTAGATCAATGAATACTAGGGTTAAAGGTCCTATCACTGTGTTTCAACAATTGTCCCCCTGGACCTACATGCTTAGGGATCATTATTTCTGTTACACCGGCACCGGTAGTGCCGGTCGATGAATCGGAGCAAATGTGACATAAGGGAGACAGTTCTCCCCGCTTTATTCAAACACTCGAAGGAATGTCCATTATTTGTTTACATGAAGTTCATGCTGTTCTTGTTTCAGATGAGTATATGACGATCAACGAGGCGATGGCAAATGGCCTGATTCAAGTGGAGGAGGTAACAGAGCATGACCTTGGAGGCAAGAATGAATCATTTGGAATCATGACCATACGTACAGTTGTTGAGAATAGACCATATTCAATTATAGGTTTGTGAGGTCTTTTTTTATTTCTATGATACTATAACCCCCATTTTGGGAATAGGAGTGTAGGGACTAAGAGAATGTATTACCTCCAAAATTGAATGACGGCATTTTCATTTTACATATTCACGCCTGACCATCGACAAGGTACAGTCACGTGACATTGACAAAATATACCGTAGTACACTTTTGATGTACTATGTCATTTCCGCCATTTTAGATCGCCATTTTCTAGAATGAGGAAGCGAGGAAAGAACTAGCATTGATTTGATCAATATTGTGTCAGTTCATCATCAGGTAGTTGTTGCATTCGATTTGTAATTAAGTTGCAAATATGCATATCTACTTTAAATGATCCTCAGCAACTTCAATATCTTGTTATAGATCTACCCAGCATGTCAGGGATCTCTAAATCTTGACTGAATTTCTCAAAGTTCTCTCTAATTTTTGTTTTGCTATGCAAATAACAGCCAAACTACGACTAACACAACTTAAGATAAGTCCGGGAGATAAGTATACAAATATACATTCAGAGTTAATGCAAAACCGCTTTTTACTTTGGATGCTACTACGAAAAATAGATAATGTATGTTGTCAACTTGAATGTATGTTGTCACATTGGCCTTACAGATCTCAATTCACAGTTAATTTTACAGTGAATGAAATGCTATAATGTACGTGTAATAGAAGGAACATATTTGATAATAAAGTAATAATATTTAATAGGCATATCAGATATATTTACCCTAATTTTTTCCGTTAATCCATAAAATTGTCATTGATATGATTAAATGTCAATGTTACTAATTCTTTTTTTGTGTTCCATACCTGGCTTTTGAACTTCTGCACTTTCCAGATATACAGTGTCCCAAAGTATGCCCCCCTCCCTAGGCAGACATATACCAATGTCTCCATAGTATGTGTCATATATCATTTTTAAGCTTATCCAAAGTTACATTGATTTGCCAAATATGATGGTTCAAATGGTAAAAAGTAACAGGCATTTCAAAAATTAGCGTTTTGTCAAAAAGATAGTTCATTTCAGTATCCTGGAAACAGCCCTGACCCTGTGACAGAAAATATCCCTATTTGAAGCCTGTTTAAGGTCATATATGGAAAGTATTGCTGCTGTTAACATGGCGGCTAAGGAGACACACCGACTATTGTTTTGGTGTAAAACTGACTTTAATTTTGGCCGAACACTAACTTTTGTATTCCTGTAACTTTTTCCATTTGTGAGTTGAACCATGATACTCGGCAAATTAATATACTTTTGGATGAGTATTTAGATGAGTATATGATGTATTTAGTCCCTCGCTTTTCTTACACTGACGAACGACCAATATCAGTGTAATATTGGCAATATTAATGCCGATCGTCAGTGTAAGAAAAGCGAGGGACTAAATACGTGAATTGTGTCTTTGTTAACATATAAAACCTAAAACCATCGACACATTCTCAAACTAGACTATCTTCCTTAACTTTGAGCCAAATTATTATCCACAACGTGACTTATAAGTAGGTGTAAATCGGGAAATAAAAAAATCTTACCGAAACCTAGTCCCGGAGGGAGTTCCGCCATGATACACCGACGATACGTCTGTGTAATTAGGTGGGTAGCAGTGTTAATGCATTTTGAAATTAAATCATTGCAATGTTTAATATTATAACTCATGAATTTCAATTACAGGGACAACATACACTGTGAGTTGACAACGTACATTTCTGATTTTTTAAATTATACCAAATGCATGAATATTTATTAAATCTTAACCGTTTAGAGAAACACATTCTCATTAAAATATTCGACACTCCGAGACGTCAGGGGAGAAAATTATCAAAGGAAATGTGTAAAAAACAACATTTTTCCAACCGAACAATTGTATGGGTAGACGTACAACGAAAAAAATCGAGCACTGCTCGAAGATCTTTTAACGTAATTAGAAAAATAAATGTCTTTGAAATCGAATACACGCGAAATCAAACAGGAAATCCTTTTTGTATTCCTCAAATTTATTTTTGAAAACCTGCATCAAACCTACATCATAGTCTTTGCTTAAAATCAGTTAATAGTGACATTGTACATCAAAAGAGTACTACGGCATATTTTGTCACGGTCGCGTGACTGTACCTTGTCGATGGTTAGGCGTGATATTTAAAGTCTCCGATAAATCGGGCTACGTATACCGCCGGGGGGGGGGGAGATTTCCCAAAGATGACCTTTCAAATTGGAACGTTCGAAAACAAATTTTATAAACAGGCCTCATTTGCCATTGAAATGGATCTCCAAATGTTCGCTGTAGTTTCATGAGTATTCTCTACAAGTATGAATCGAGTAACTTCAATAGTATTACCGTAGGTTTGAAATGGTGATGTTGAGCTGATGTTAAGGTAAAGGTAAAGTTAATCAAAAGTACAAAAAAAGGCAGCCATATTTTTTGGTAAAGTCACACAATTTTGTATCGCTTTTCCTTATATGTGAATGCATTTCCTGACTAAAGAGATATGTCAAAGAAAAAAATCACATTTAAACGCATTTTTCATAACTACGAATTGGAGGTGCATGGGTCCCCAAAGCTAGCATGAAGACCGTGAAATGAGGCTAATTTTTGAACGTTTCAAGTAGTAGCCTTGCAACAGTCACACATTTGCAAGAATCCATAATTTCCACAAATCATCTTACCTTACCAAGGAACATCGAAGGAGCGTGAAAATGTGCACTTCTTGCATAGTTAGAGTATGATAAAGCTCAAACCATAGTTACTTATAAATATTTCATGTCCACCATTTTGTTTGCCGGAACTACTTCTAGACTTCCTGATTAATCCTCATACAAGTTTTGTGACTTCACCAAGTGGCATGGATTATCACTAGTATATTTTATCTATAACAGTATAATTATACATGATAGATACATGATTGAGGCTTTACAAATGATAAATAATGGATACATGAGTGAGGATTACTTTGGATTAGAAAATAGTCCCAGCAAACAAAATGGTGGACATGAAATATTTAGAATTGACAATGGTTTGAGCTTTATTATACTCTAACAATGCAAGATGTACACATTTACGCGCTCCTTTGATGTTGCTTGGTAAGGTAGGATGATTTGTGGAAATTTTAGATTCTTACAAATGGGTCTCTGTTGCAATCCTACTCCTTGAAATTTTAAAAAGTTATCGTCACTTCACGGTCTTCATGCTAGCTTTGGGGACCCATGCACCTCCAATTCATAGTTATGATAAATGCGTTTAAATGTGAAGTTTTCTTTGACATGTCTCTTTAGTCCGGAAATGCATTCACATATAAGGAAAAACAGATACAAAATCTTGTGACTTTATCAAAAAAATATGGCTGCCTTTTTTGTACTTTTGATTAACTTTACCGCTACCTTAACACCATTCGCACGATTTCAAATTTAACTTTGCGCATGCGCAGCACTGAGAGAGCACGTGCTCATGATTGTTCACGTGATCACATCCTGCAATTTGATTGGAGATGATGTTGGAGATGATTCAAGTACTACATAATGTACACTATTTATGTGTGTACTACATGGGATTCCAATTCCTTGGGAAACAAAACACAAATACTTTTTTATATGTTCAAAATGAGCCATTTGATTGATGCACTTAACTAGCTTCATAAATAACAACTGTACAAAGTATATCTAATAGTAATTTTCAATTTCAATGGTGAAACTTGCCTGGTTACGATTATTCGGGAAATCAACATGGGATGAAGATTGTTCACCTTCCTGGCTTACCTCTGAAGCCTGTACCTTGGAATCTCTTTATATAGGTCAGCGAGAGCGCCGCACCTGCGCAGTTTTAAACTTTGCCGCACACTTTAAATAATAACTTTTCTCTTTACTTCGAAAAACATAAATTCATGAAGATTGTAACTAAGAAAGAGTTCTGTTTTAAGGAGCAGTGGATGCACTCACTGGCAACACTCTTGATGTGGATGAAGCTGTTCAATGTGGACTGATAGATGAGATAAGCGGCTTCTATGTTCACCCACTTAAGGTAAGCCAACAACTGGGAAGAATATATTTTCCACCAAAGTTCAAGTAGTACCGGTGTAAAAGGTAGGATTCTGGTAGCAAAATATGATTACACCATGAACAGTACTTATAGAGAACGCTAAAAGTTGTTTTGAAAACAAATACGACCCCCAAACAAATGACCCCCTTGGCGTTTCAAAAGTTGAAGAGGTACAGAAAAAATTTGGTTCCATCTTGTAAGTCATTCAAAACTCTGGAGGGAGGTGTATTAAAATCTCAAAATGTAGGTCAAATGGGGTCAAAAGTAGGTCAACTTTTGTCGCGTATTTTTTTAACTTTTTCAGTCAAAAACAACATATAATGTTTTTTTAGCAAGAAAAGGGTACTAAATGTGATAGATGAATATAGTTTCTACCTTTTTAGAAAAAAAACGTGGGTAAATCCTACATCCAGAAATAGGTAATATGAGCCAAAATTTGTCAAAATGGAATATCGAAAAATGGGGGGATTGGAGACAAATCACAGCCCAGGACCTAAAATACTGAATAGATAATATTCTTTTTAAATAACATCCTAGGACATACCCCTGGCTATAATATACACGCCCGGTGCAGGGGCGGATCTGGGAACCAACAAGGGGGGGGGGGGCAATTTTCAGGTGAGAGAAAAAAACTCCGAAAAAAAGGAAGATTTATTTTTTCAAGAGAAAATTTACAACTGAATTCTCAAATGAATAGGCGCAGTGCTTGGCAAAATATGTTAGATCTTCTAGTATATTTTTGGAACTGATACGCTTCTAAGATATGATCACCGACGTGCAAAAGTCAATGTTTCTGCTATAATTCAGGCAACAATGGTCTACGTGACCTGTAGTTTGACTGCTCTAGTTTAGCATTTGACATTGATTCTTTTTCAGAAGGAGCAATACACATTTGACAAGGCTATCAGTTTAGGTTTGTTAGTTGTGGAATACGATGACTTGGACTCAGCTAACAGACAGGTGAAAACGACATGTTATGCGATACATCACATCGTGGACCCCTTACAAAAGAAAACCGTAAGAATGATTTTTCTTAAAAACATCTTCGATGCATCGCTACAATTTTAACAGGGATACATAAAATGGTTAGTGTCTAAGGAAAACAAGTGGGAGTCCTTCACTGCGTCATCAGCAGGTATCTCAGTATCAATAGTATTTCGCCCTTTAACCTGTGAGGGTTTCACTGAGTGGGGCAGTAATGGCTGACCTTAACCATCACTCGCTGAAGGACACCATCTGTCTCTTTTTGGGCCAAGTCCACATTGAGCTGGACTTTGCTACCATACTAACTGCTTTGATTGCTGACTTAAGCTGCATTGGTGGCAATCCTATTTGAGATAGGGAAAAGCGAAGAGAAGCTGGAAAACCTCTACAGCCTACTTCTATGGGGTATTGGACAATGTGCCAACCTCTGGCCTTGTGTTCTCCAGCTAGATCTTGGTACTATTATTTAAGATCAGGCGACGTTTTGTTCTGCAATACTGTTTGTTTTCGAATGTTAATAGTTGGCATTAGTTTTCGTCGGCTTTGTATAAAAAACCTCCTCCCTCATACCCACCTACCCACGTACGTGGGACATGATACAGTCTTTGAAGGGTTCAATTTTAAAGATCTTAGTTTATTTATCTTAGTTTATGATGAATTATAGATGCATTTATAACGACCATTGAAAGCAAGTTGCTACTACATCCCAGCTGGGTTCGATTCCCACTCGGGGCATCGACTTTAGCACACTTTCTTTCAATTTCTTTATCTGGCTTGTTGAACCTATGCTCGCGGTCGTTACTTATTTATTCCACTGGGGCTCCCTCGGGTCATTACACATTAAAATGCATCCATATGCCTTTATTTATGTACCCGTCATCTGTCTAGTCATAAAATAAAACCGGAATTGTAGAAATGTTAATAATTTGAGCTATTTTGAGATTTAATAATCTTTAAAATTGAACCCTTCAATGAATGTATCATGTTCCACGTAGGTGGGTAGGTGGGTATGAGGTAGGAGTTTTTTTTATACAAAGCCGTTTTCGTCAACTTCTTGTACTATTGCATCACCGCTTTTTGTGGTGTCCTGCCGCAAACGGTTTACCATTTGCATTCGTTCGACTTCACTTCTAAACTCTACTATCACACCAAACTAGTTCTCACTACGTTCTCGAAAACGGGCTTAAACTTTGCACGAACGGATTTGACGTACTAAGAACCCACTAAGAACCGTTTGGGATCTGTTTACAAACTTCATGAAACTACTAGAACGAGTAGGTCCTCCAGCACTTAGAGCATGCTCAAAATTTTCTGGTGATCGTCAAAACGTTGCCGAATCGGTTTTAAACTGTGTACGAACTGAATGAACGTAGCTACAACGTTCTACGGTCTGTTTACGAACTTCATGGACTTTCCCGGACGGGGTATGTAATTTAGAATTTTGAATCGATTCAAAATTCGATGGCGACCATACCGTTCTGTTATCAGGTCATGCTGACCTTCTATACTAAGGGACGGTTTATACTACGTTGCACACCGACGTGGTGCGACCTGAACGAACTGCGAATGAGATGGACGTATTGAAGACTGTTTATGAACGAAGTAGCTAATTATTTTAGACATATATTCCGACCGCAGCCAGATTGAGCCCGTTTCACGACATTTTGGTAGGACTGGCAAGAACGGGTAAGAACTAGCTTGGTGTGATAGGGGGGTAAAAGAGAGCTTCGTTGTTTATAACTAGACTCAGTGCAGGATACAACACGTTTTGATCAGTTGACGTAGGCGAAGTGGTGTCTCTTCTTTTTGAAGAATTTTACCACGACTTTCAAAATTGCTGACCAGTTGACATTCTCTACCAGAGATTTAAAGGAATATTCCTTGCCAGACCCTTTCTCTCTTGATATGGTAGCTATAATCATATATATAGTTTCCATATTTAGCAAAACATGGGAAAATGTTTTAATATGGTCAATATTGATCATTTGAAAATCTAGTGCTTATTTCTAGTGAGCTGCCATCTTTTAAGATTTCTTGCAGGAAGTGATGTCATCAACTCTCAACTTCTATAACCTTGCCCATAACAGTATAGGAAAGTAGCACAAAATCACTTCTAGACAAGTGATCATTACTTTCTGTGCAAAAATATTTTCAGGGCTTGTCAACTTAGAATAAAAGAAGAGATTTTCAGAAGGATAAAATAAGATACAAAGTTGAAAAAGAATATTTAGCTGGTTTTGTAATTCGTTATAGCTCATCACCTAATGCTATATGCAAAGTTGAGAGTCGATGACATCACTTCCTGTGTGAAATTTCAAAAGATGGCAGCTTACTGGAATTGAGCATCACATTTCTAAGTGATCAACTTTATCAAAACATTTTTGCGTGTTTTGCTAAACATGGCAAGCATATAGCTACCATATGAGGAGAGAGATGGTTTGGCAAGGAATATTCCTTTAAGCATTTATGAAAATGGGAATTTGTACCAATAACTTGACATCAAGATTGCAAGCAATCGTCAGAGTTTTCAAATGTATTCAAAGTCGAATAGATGTAGAACCTTTTAGAGGAATATATATCCTGACTTTCAACCAAAAATATTGATTTGCAGTCTCGAATTAACTTAGATAACACCGTCTGTGACTTACTTTGATGACCTTGACCTTTGACTCCAAATTTTACTTTTTTATGTCTACGAAATTCTTTTGCGATTAAATATACCTAAATTTCTTCATTTAACAGGTAACCTTCTTAGAAGCAGTGCGCATGGGTCTACTAGATAAGAATACTGCAGATTATGTGAACAAAGCTACTGATGAGAGGATGTATGTTGCAGATGCAATAGACAGAGGATTCATTAAGGTAAAGGCGTAAGGTAAAATATTTGATCGCGTACAGAAGTGAGCAGCTCTCATAATTCTTTGCTTCACGTCCACTGATATACTTGAGCGTGAACTTACGCGTTCATGTTAACGGTTTGGATTTGGACGTGTAGATTAACCTCTCTATTGTATTTTTCGAATTTTGAAGTATTATTACTAGAATATGGATATACTGGAGCATGAGTGACTTCATTTCAAAATATATAGGGGGCATTGATAATGATAGGGGTGCAATATTGTTCTCTATGGTTTTATTTGTTTTATCCTATTTGTTCAAGGCAACCATTGTGGAAAACCCAAATGAGATAGAGCTCAATCCTCAGAATGAGAATATTGAGAAGAACTTTGGAAAAATCAAGAATAAAATATGGAGGATGAGTGCAGTAAATGCCTTCAAGAGGTACATTAACGACTTGCCACCATGTGAAAACCATAGTTCAACTGAGGTTGAAGATAGTGAGAAACAACTTGGTTCAACTAAATATGTAGATAGTGAGAAACTGCTTAGTTCAACTGAGACTGTAAATGTTGAGAAACTACTTGGTTCAACGAAAGATGTAGATAGTGAGAAACTGCTTAGTTCAACTAAGACTGCAGATATTGCGAAAATGCTTGGTTCAACTAAAGATGTAGATGGTGGGAAACTGCTTAGGTCAACTGAGGCTGAAAATGGTGAGAAACTGCTTGGTCCAACTAAGAATGTAAATGTTGAGAAACTGCTTGGTTCAACTGAGACTGTAGATGATGAGGAACTGCTTGGTCCAACTGATGTTGTAGATGTTGAGAAACAACTTGGTTCAACTAAGGCTGTAGATGGTGAGAAACTGATTGGTTCAACTAAAGCTGTAGATATTGATAAGCTGCTTGGTTCGACTAAGGATGTAGATGGTGAGAAACTGCTTGGATTAGCTGAGCCTGTAGATGGTGAGATATAGTCTCTACTAATGTAAACTCTTGAAGGATGACTGGTCAATATATATAAATCTGATAGGTTGAAATGCTTTTATCAATGTCTTTGTGTTCAATACCTAAAGTTGCTTTAATGATTGGTCTTTTTCAGATTGCCCAACAGCAAGACAGCGTTTAATGGAAGATGCTCATCAAACATCAGATGGCAAGCACAGTCGTGTCTCATCCAGCTCAGATGATGAAATTGACATTCACCTACATAAAAATACTAAAACAGCCAGCAAAACGCCAGGCACTTCCACAACGACAGTTCTTGACACTGTTGCTAGGGAGATTGCAGAGGCAGATAATTACAAGAGAACACTTATCCGCACGACTAATAGTGACCCAGGGATTGCAGTTTTTAATACTGGAAAGGTTATTATGATCAGTGGCGGTAATGCGACACATGATGTTGCTTTTGACAATGCTGACGAAGATATAGCTCAAACAACAGTTGTATCCCGTAGTATGAGCCTCGAGACATCATCTCAAGATCACCAGAAACTTGCTAAACATGATGTTATTCCTACCAAAACATTAAAGGAATCGAACGCGAGGGATACTGTTCTCCCTGCAAAGACTATGATTTATCGACCAAATGATCCCATAGTCAATAACATTGTAGCAAACAATGACATCTCCACAATTAATACAAGTACATATGGAATGCTTGAATCCAATGAAAGTCCAACTCTCTTCAACTGACCTGTCTATTAAGACAGATGATATTACATCAGCAAGCCCCCATACAATAGGGAGAAAATTTGGTCATCTTGAAAACCCAGGAGAGTGCTGAAAATGATGCGAGACCAACTTGAGACATACAAATATTTTTTTCTATATTTATTCACAGTTAGATTTTGTTTACAGTATAATTGATCTCATAGTCCAGTAGTCAGCTATATTTAATACATTTATAAAACTTAAAGATAAAAAATGGTACAGGGGACACCGTATTATATGAAAAATAAAAATAACTTATAAATGTGAGCGATCTTCAGTTTTCTTTCAACTTTTTGTAAACATCCTGAGTTTTGTCTATAGTTTGTTATGTATACTCCTCAAAGAGTTAAGGATCAGTATTTTTCCTCATAGGTTCACATGTTAAACCTTATGTATCTTTAAACTTTATTTTCTAAGCCCGAAACGAAAGAAAACTTATAATGTAAATGGATATGTACCTTGACTCTATTCTCTATATTTCAGGAAATTTTCAATTTAATCTCTCTATTACAATAGGTCAAAAATTGATGTCAAAGTTGAGGAATTTTAAATTGTTAACCAATGGGAAATGGTGGGTTAGGTGCAAATCAGATTTTTGGATATGTATTCCACCCTATGCAGACAGAGCCTGTGGGAAATATTGGGTGCGGAGCAAATGAGCGGAGGGTGCGGAGCTAACGGTCATTTTTGAATTTAAATTTGGGATATTTCTGAAACTAAGCCGTTTTGGGACTTCAAATATACCAAGATATGTGTATTTGACACCAAATATCAATACAATTGTGAAAATAGTAGCGCAATTCATTCTATAGCGACGCAGTGTGCCTTAAACCTTTCCAGACCTAGTATATTTTGAAATTATCCTTTTAATACTGAGTCCCCAGCATTCATAAAAAATGGTGTTCAAGGTACACTATCTATACAAATTATTTTCCATAAACGTACCTCCGCACCCAATATTTAGAGGGGGCTCATATCTGAAGAACATTTCCGAATTTTTATAAAATCACACAGATACTGCCTGGCTTCCAAGATGCAAAAATAATTTGCATGGGTAGTGTATCTTGAACACCATTTTTTATGAATGCTGGGGACGCATTTTTAAAAGGATAGTCTCAAAATATATAGGTCTGGGAAATGTTTAAGGCATACTGCGTCGCTATAAAATGAATTGCACTACTATTTTCACAATTTTATTGATATTTGGTGTCAAATACACATATCTTGGTATATTTGAAGTCCCAAAACGGCTTAGTTTCAGAAATATCCCAATTTTAAATTCAAAAATGACCGTTAGCTCCGCACCCTCCGCTCATTTGCGCCGCACCCAATATTTCCCACAGGCTCTGTCTGTATAGGGTGTATTCGGTAAAACATTTATCAAAATAATTTCTGAGTAGACAATTGAATTGTTTTACTTTGTGCATGCTTTAAGTTTTTGTTAAGCTTATTTTGTGAGAATTACCGATATAGAGCATCAACGTATTTCCGACAACTCATTTTGACCCCCTGTGTTATTTCAATGAGAAGTTCTATGAGAAATGATTTTAACTTTTGAGACTCATAACTTTGTAAAACCTGGAGAAACAAATCAATTTTTTGTTGTACACACTTTAGCAAATTCAATACTCCTATTCGCGATAAGAGTTCAGGTGGTAATTTACATAAATATCGCCCATGATGCATCGCTTTGGAAGGGACAAATTTTCATTGGCCTGCCGGACGAGTCGAATACTCTGAACGTTTCTCAGCTTCTGATCTTCCATCAGTCCCCAAGCATAGTTATATGACATGTATGATCCAATCTATTCAATAATCAGAAAGATGAGTCGAAGGTAACAGGATTTATATTTTTCGATCTTCGATGACGTCTGAGCAATTTCTGGGAAATCAGTGAAGTCGACGTCACTGGAATTGGATGGTATTTTCAACTACAGATTTCTTCGGATTTGGGGATTATAGTTCAAAACACATAATTACATACATACCTATCATTTGTGCAAATGCAACTCTACATAAATGTTTAATAGAGTCGCAGTGCGGCATTGGAAATAGCACCACCATGTAATCCAATGGGAAAGAACCCGGATGTAGACGAAGTTGTAAGTTACCATAAATGAGAGCTCTTCAAACGGGAGGTAACTAAACTGAACTTAACCAAACGTTATCGCGTATTGGAGTATTGTCTATTTACATTCCATTTTTGAGAGCAATTGAGTTGATGGATATTTTGTCATGTGACTTTTGGCAACCCAACCATTTCCCATTGGATTACATTTATTTTTTGAACATGTGCTTTCTATAAAAATTTGCGCACCATCTTCAGAGAAGATGGAGGACCAATTGATCAATTTGTCAAGTGTAACAAGGATTGACAAAGTACGGCACAATTTTATGCCAACCTGGTATATTTAAAGGCTAAGTGTAACTACGTTGTACTCAAACCATTTTACGCGATTTAGGTATATTATGATTATGCTATCTTACCGTATGAAGGCCACAATTAACGATGGTGAACCATCAACAATTCCAAAAGTTCATTTTATCATGATATTTGGGATATAAAGTCAGCACCACGTGTCTGAATTCGCGGCAAAACTGATTCCATTTTCAGAGCAGATATTTTAAGTCACGTGACATGATGTGTGTGGTTGAAACAATTTACCGCTAAATACGATTTTGTAGATAAAAATTGAACACTGGCTTTCAAAAACTAGTTATTCACTCTTATGTTGAGCCAATTATGCATGACTGATTGAGGCTATTCTCATCAAGGATGGGTATCGATAATGGCGAACTTTTTAAACACACGTTTCTCTTAAACAAGACATCAAAAAATTCTGAAAATTTTACACATTGTCAATTTAATGGAAATGTTTTAGGAAATGTTTGTTATGTGACATGGACTGTGTAGAAGATGAAAAACATTTTTTATTGAAACGTAGTCATTATGATGATCTTCGATATAGATTTTCTGAAGTTGTTAAACAGAAATTGCCCTATTTAGATTTAACATTAGCAAATTCCACATTTATTTTTGTTTCAACCATGAATTGTACCTCACTCCAAAGACCATCAGGGGCTCTAGTCTATAACATGTGCAACAAGAGATCTCTTAATATTGATAGGCTAGTGATGGCTGTGATCCCTAGATGAATATGCATGTTCAGAATTATATAATGTACACCTGCTGAAAATTTCAACTCAAATGGTTGAGAAATCTTGAAATGGCAGACCAATTCCCAGAACTTAATGATCACCCTGTATATATTTGTTAGATCAGTGACACTTAAATAAACTATTTTAAAACTAAAAACTAACTTTTAGGGATAAGAATATCATTTGACACAAATGCAAATAACACAGATAATTTTGAAAAGGTTCTTATATTGTGGTCAAAACGAGATCTTACTTTTCATGGAAAGGTACGTATAATTAAGTCCCAGGCAGTTTCCAATACTCGATGACAATGACCAATACGCCTGATGATATCTTGACGAAGGCTCAACGACTAGTCTATTCTATTTTATGGGGAGGAAAAGGTGAAAACATTAAGCGAAATACCAAGACTGATTAATATGTTCACAATGGAGAAAGTCCTGAAATAATGTGGTTAAAACGTTTACTTGACACGCGAACTTGTCACTGGAAGTTTATTCGTCAAGTTTATTTCAAGCTTCTTGGAGGACTGTTTTTTTGTTGCAATGTAATTATGATATTAAAACACTGGCACACAGCGTTCCTACCTTTTATATGAATTTGCTTCGAAACTATTCAGAATTAGGAAATATGTCAACGCCTAGAACCAGTTCAGAGGTTAAAGGTGAAATAATTTGGAACAACAAATCAATCCTAATTAATGATAAGGAGGTAATGTACAAACATGTCATGGAAAGGGCAGGAGGGAGTCATTTATATTAATGACCTTCTTAACGAGAATGGTTTTTTAAAGCACAATGAGTTTAAGACTAAATATAATACCAATAGCAACTTTCTTAGGTATTTTTCAATCATATCGGCTATACCAAGTGATTGAAAACTTTTATTGAAATCAGATTTAAATTCGGCTTTTAAACCCAGCATACAGGAAGAAATCGTGTATTTGAAACTTGGTGAAAAACCGGTGACAATCTCTACTATAACGGTTAAATTAATATTAAATGGAAAAAATCTTGGAACCGTTATATAAAGACAAACACAATCGTGAATTAAAGAGAACCGATTATTTTAAATTGCCTTATATGTGTACGAAACGGAATAAAACGCGACAACTTCAATTCAAAATACTTCACGGTATCTGCACAACAAATTCCTTCTTAGCGCAGTAAGGCATTAAGATGTCTCCAAATGTAACTATTGTGCCCTTTGAGATACGTTAAAACACAAATTCTGGGAGTGCAAAAAGACTCAAACCTTTCTGAAAGCAATCAAGGGGAATTTAAAGCGTTTATTTAAAGTTGATTTTGATTTTAATGCCCTTGACACGGTTTTTGGAAGGCAAGTTAATGAGAATAATATGTTACCAAATAGGCTTACCCTTGCCATAAATGTTATATTTATACAAAAGAGTTAGACGAGGTGAATCGCAATTTGGACTAGACGCAATTTGAAAAAAAAAGTTTTTATGTGTACCAGGAACTTTATGAAGGGGATGGGCGCTACATCGGCGATTATTGTAATTATTAAGCTACATGTATGTTTGATCTTCATTAGATTTTCAGATGAGTAAACTTGTTTTTACTAGGAATTCAATGGTGTAATATAATGCTCAAATTGCACCAGAGAGATTCTTAATTCCAAAAGATTTCTGCGGGGCCAATGCTTCCCTCGGTGACGCGGTTCGCGCTGTACGCGTTAACGTTTCTCCTTTAGTACATATTTCTACAAACAGTAAGTTTATATTTAAACTTAAGTATAAGGTGGAATAAAATCTATAATAAACTAGAGTTTAAGCTATTTATGTACATGTAACTTCATACATTTTAGCGGCAAAATCAAAGCATGATAGATTTGAAGTGAAAAGGGAAGTGGGCATAGGGAGCACGGGCAAAAATTACACGAACATTTTTAAAAAGTCGAACCTCACTTGAAAAATCCTGGCCAAAGGCCTGAAATCTGACCTCTTACCTATCTACTGATCAACAAATTCTCCTCTAGTATTTTGAAATATGCATATCCATCAATTCATACATTATTTCATTCTATAAAGTTATATACAAAAAATCACAGCATACATACATGCATGCATGTTTGATACGTGCACTGTACAATGCTAGTAAATGGAAATACTTAATATACCTTTTATACTCATGTCTACTACTTTTATATGCCTTATGGTGTCAGTATTTGTCTTGGACACTTAATCTCAAACTGTGTGCAATAACTTAATGTGAGTTTAAGGAATAGACTGTGATAGTCTATGAGAGTTATACCCATCTCTGTGACATAAACTGATTATCACTTATTTATATGAATACAATAAGCACATAAATATACTCAAAAATAACACACAATACAATGTAGAATTAAGGATTTAAGCCTCAGTGCATTGTGGACTGAATTACTAATGCAAGTTGTGGTTTCAAACTTTGCACAAGATGTGTAGCATGAGTGCTAAGGTTAGGAAACAACACGTGATTGGAATGAATCTGCAGCCAAAATGCATTGAGTTTTCGGGTTTAATTCTTTTCACACATTGCAAAATATTTGAACTGAATCATTCCTCTTGAGGCTGTTGTTTTCATATCTTTGCATGACTGTGCAGCTACATGTGATTAATCTATTAAGGGCCTTGTTCAGTCAATACTCCTCCTCTATATATATGAGATCATTTCATTTTTATTTTTGGGCTAACTCAAATATATGAATGTTCATGGTCAGTTTGTCATTTCTGGGTTGGCAACCATAGTTTTTATAAGTTGGTCCATTTCTCTTGTGAGATCGTTAGGAAATGCAGTTATTGCTGAGACTGCCACTGGTAAGTATTACAACCCTGGAAGTAGAGTAATGTTCATATTCAATGTATTATCCAAACCATCATATTGTGTGACTACATGGGATGGTTGTACATTACAAGAATGTGACTATCCTTTATAATAGGTCAAAAATTTATGTCAAATTTGATAAATTTAAAAAAGGTAGAACCCATGTAAACCAATGGGAAATGGTGGGCTAGGGGCAAATCAGATTTTTGAATATATATTTAGTAAAAATAATTATTATTGATTTATTACAACTTCTGAGTAGAAAATTGAGCAGTTTGACTTTCTGCATGCTTAGTGTTTAGCTTATTTAGTGAAAAGAAGAGGTCCATTTAACAGACTAGTGGTCCACTTATACTTTTTCCAAAAAACTCATTCTTCCATTTACTTTTAAAACCGATTGCAAGTTGTAGGTAAACCTTTTTTCTTGAGATGTGCAATTTCAAAAAGTTTTCAGTTTTCAGTTTGCAAAATTGGCAGTTAGAACCCCCTCATGTGAAGTATGGCAAGTGATTCTAGACAGTCATATCTTTCACCATGAGTACTTTTTGGCCATAAATACAGTGGTTTATATTAAAACAATATGTTTTCTTTCAAGTGAAATCCCTGTGATAGTAAAATATCAATCCAACTCTCTGAAAATTATAGATTAGGGCACCTTGGCACTTTTTGAATTTTTTTTAAATAAACATATCGAAAATCTCCACTATTTTAACAATTTCTGAAAAGGGAATGGGTATTGAAATGCATTAAAGTTAAAAACCACATGTCCCATGTAATTATCCCATAGGGAAAACTTGTGCTATCCATTGTTTTCAGCATAATTTTGGTCATCGAAAATTGATATCTTCAAAACTAGACTTTCAATACCATTCAATTTTTGAAGATGTTTTAGACCCCTCGTTGAATAATCTTTTCATGCACTAAAAATCAGAAAAAGAAGATCCTCTTTTGAGTAAATAGGTTCAATATTTTTAAAAAATGTTGACATGATGTCCCTATTCATAATTTTTCAAATTGTTCGATTGATATTTATATCATCATGGTACTTTACTTGAAAGAAAGCATATTGTTTTAATAAAAACCACTGTATTTATGGCCAAAAAGTACTCATGGTGAAAGATACAACCGTCTAAAAAACCACTTGCCATACTGCACATGGTCTTTTTAGCACACCATGTGTCATCCACATAGCGTTTCCAGATTCTAGGTGGATCTGGAAACTCTATGTGGATGACACATGGTGTGTTATAAAGTCAGAGTCAGTAGATAGTTTCACAGACTTCATTAACAGGTTTCATCAAGATATTAAGTTCACTAGAGAAGTAGCAGTAAACAAAGAGTTAGCCTTTCTGGATGTTCTTACATATATAAAGGAAGATAGATCGTAAGGGTGTAGGGTGTATAGAAAACCAACACATACAGACTTGTACCTAAACTTCAATTCTCATCATTTATATAGGACCAAACTAGGAGTAGTTAAGACTTTAACTCGCAGAGCGAAGGAAGTTATTCAAGATAGCACAGATTTAGAGAATGAACAAGGTCATATCAAACAAACATTAAGTAGGTGTGGTTATCCACTTTGGAGTATAGAACAAGCTAACAAGGAAAAACCTAGAGTAGTTGACCCAAATGGCAGTGAGTCTGAGACTCCACCATTAAGTGTAACTCTACCATATATACAAGGTACGTCACAATGGTTAGAGAGGGTGTTTAATAATGTAGGAGTGAAAACTTATTTTAAAGCTGCTAGAACGATCAAACAGGAGTTAGTCTCACCAAAGGATCCAAGCCCTAAGTCAGAAATCTCTGGAGTTATTTACAAAATTAATTGTCAGGACTGTGATAGCTCGTACATAGGTGAAACTAAGAGACCAATAGGTGTTAGGATAAAAGAACATCAGACAGCATTAAGATTAGGAAAAGAAACTGAACATTCATACGTCACAGGTCATAGGATCAATTAATTGGAATGAGTATAGTATAGTTGATAAGGAGAGTAAGGATTTCTATAGAAAAGTTAAAGAAGCCATCCACATACAGCAAAAATTGTAAAATAGTGTGTAACTTAGGCTGTTTCATAATTTACTAAGTCTATCAGAATGAGCTGCCCCTAAGCCCAGTGGTGCACAAAACAGCATTTGTGACTACATTTTGAGTGAAAATGAACAGGCTGCTCTCTTTGTGCTTCAATAATTCAAAAAGTATAGCTCCATTGCCAAATTTATTTTATACAACATGAGGTGGTAACATGATTGTCAGGTATTTGTAATATTAGATTCCTAGCTTTATTGTTAGACTTGGCAGGATTCATTTGCGCATAGAGAGAAGAAGTGCCCATTTTGAGCATGTTTTGTAAGGTACTGTAGTTTTTGACACAATCAACAGATTATCATGAAACTTTCACAACAAAATTCTCATTGAATGGATTAAATAATTCTTAAATTTCAAGCGAAAATTGACCGAATTATTCAACTTTCTTACGGTCCTGTTTTTTGGACACCCTGTACATGTACAAAGTTGTATCTAGAAATGAAGATTTAAAAATTGTTGATCAACCTGAATTGTGATTTTCTTTGGATACAAGATTTCTAGGTTGGGTAGTTTCCCAATAGAGCCATTGTTATAAAATCATAAAAATTGAAATATCTTTTCTTTGATTGAACAGATAATAATTTATTTCACTGAACATATTTTAAATAGTTCATTTATAAATCTCAAAAAGGTTAAATGAAAATTGATGCAATAAATCTATTTATTATTGAGCTTTATTGAGGTTTAGGGGATTCTTATCTATGTCGGCTGTTCAGCTAAAGTATTTGACCAGAATTAGACACCTGAGGGAGAAACTAAAAGTGTCCTACTAACACCTTGGTAATTGTGGAACACCTACCATTGAGACCTATCTTGTGATAATTGTGGTGTGAGATCTTCATCTATTAAAGAGTTGAGTTCTTCTTTGATGAACTTAAAATTACGTTCTATATCTGATTTGAACTCCAGAAGGGATGGTATACTACTTCCCAAAGCATTCATAGATTGCTGAAAATATAATAGTTGAAAAGATTAAAACAACATAAAGTTGATCTATGATCTAGTGAATACAATTGATTCATTGACTTCTCTACAATTCATGTTTAACAACATTACAGCAAGAACAAGGTAAGACTAAACAATATTTTAGGACTGAAATTCAAAATGGCCATTACTCTCACAAAGTAAAGATATAGTTACACTAGAAAAACAGCATGGAGCAACTCCATGGAGAAGCAAATCCCATTGAACAAAACATATTTTAATAATTAGTGGCCATCTTTAAAATTTCTTCCTAAACAGCTAGAGCATATCAGCATATAAAATTGAAACCAAATCCATGCACTGGTATTTGAGTATATCAAAGATCATGTTTTTTTTCCGAAAAATGGTGGCAATTTTGAAATTCAGCTGGCATCTTGAAAATTTCTTCCTGAGCAGGGCTCCTTTGTCCCTACATGTAGGTAGCAGCATATTAAATTTGAGCAATATCTGTCAACTGGTATTTGAGTTATCAACAATTACATTTTTAACACAGTTGGTGGCCCTTTTGATGAATATCTTCTTGAGCAGACCTCCATTATCTCTAGTAAAGCTGATCTTGATGCAAGACTAGAGTAAGTTTAAACTCACATTTAGTAAAGTTATACTCACATAAAGTAAAGCTATCTGGTACGCTACATATTTGTGATTGTAGAGATTACATACATCAGAGTTCAACTGATGGGCCAGTGTTACTACTTGGTTGAGTGCTTGCATCCTTGGAAAGTACCCTGAGACATAAACATACTATTAATAAAAAAGAAAGCATTAAATAAAAATTAAATGAGGCTTTTGGCTACAATTATGCAGACTTATAATGCATCAAAAAGGACACAAGCTATAGTTCTGAGATTGCCCAGATAATAATTCCAACTAAAGATGAGTGAAATGATTTTGACCTAAGGCACAATGTAGCAAATCCTAAAAAACAAAATAGATTTTAATAAATAACCCCTCCCAGGGGTTTCACTAGATTTTCTCACAACAGGCTAAATAAATAACAAGGCATTAACATGACAAAATGTCACAACCTAGTTGCTCACAATATTATTAGTTCAATCGTAAGTCAGATTTGAATTTCTGAGAACTCTGTATTATGACTGCCTTGTACCAATGAGAAAGCCACATGCTTAACTGACTCAATGTTTATGTTGGTAAATCTGATCAATCAACGACGGCCCTGCAGCGCTAGCTCATTATTATACACGGTCAAGACAAGTACACTTTTCACAAACAAATCCAGTGGCAAATCTTGCACAGAGTTGCACAAGGCTGAGAACTCTGTAGATGATTTTTAAAGAAAAAATGGTCAATTTGAAGCAAGTTTTTGACCCCGAGAAGGTCATTGAAGCTGAAATCACTAATCTAAAATCAGATTTGAACTTCTGAGAACTTGTAGATGGTTTTGAAAAAAAATTGGTCAATTTGAGAGTTGAAAAGGTCATTGAAGGTCAAATCTTTTTTGACCTTGAGAATGTCATTAAACATCAGATCTTAAAGTCAGATTAGAACTTCTAATAACTTGTAGATGATTTTGAAAAAAATATTTGGTCAATTTGAAGCAAGTTGACAAAATACCTTTTTGACCTTTTTTACCTTTTTTGACCTTGAAAAGGTCATTGAAGGTCAAATTTTACATGTAAAGTCAGATTTGAACTTCTGAAAACTTGAAGATGATTTAGAAAAAAATGAAGTCAGTCTAAACAGTATTTGTTAAGTTATTGGAAATTATAAGAATTTGTTACAGACGACAATTGCTGCCCGCTGACGGCCACCCACCACCCACCGATTGCCAACCATCGGCCGCCGCCCAAAAAATGGTGACCATAACAATATGTCACCACTTCTTGATGGTGACATAAAAACAACGGGCAAAATTAATGGAAACCTTGATTCCTACACTAGAAAGTGACGGTGCCTGCTGCCTGTAAATGAAACCCCTGCCTCCCCATTTTGGATCATAATTTTTTGATAGAAACTAGAAAACAGCAACTCCATGGTGTAGTAGATCCCACTAAACAAAACATGTTTTGGCAAGGCAAATTGAGGGAACACTTGTGGAGTTATGACCAAAAATGAGCTGAAACTTAATTTTCCACAATAAAAGTGGCTGCCATTTTGAATGTTTGCGACTTGTTTTGACAAAACTTGTAAGCATTATTGATAATGTATAAATTAAGGTACCTGTACAATTTGAAGTAAATTGGTCAAAAACCTGTTGAGTTAAAACCCGAAAAAAATCTGATGTTATCGCAATAAAAATGGACGCCATAAAAACAAGGTGAGCTTTTGAGAAGACACCACTTATGGAACAATTGACAACCTTATATATACACATTTTATACCTTTATATACACATTTTAAAAGTAAAATTGTTCCAATTGTCGTGGAGGATTTTGAATTTGCTACCAATGTGTTGACAGACAGACAGATGGACGAATGGACAGACAGACAAGTGGGTGATAACAATAGCTCACCCATGTGGGCTAATAATGGATTTTTAACTCAATACTTTCAATATCTTATATAATTTTCTGCATTGAAAACATTTTCAACACTGAAACAACAGCTGACATCCTGCATCCCAAAAATCGCCAAACTAAGTAGTCCTGAAATAAAGACGAATACAACAATGTAAACAAAACAAGTGCTATGGAAATTGTCACTTGTAATGTGTGGTAGGTAACTCATTTTTCATTGCAAGTTCATTATAAATCAAATATGCTCAGGCAGTAGTAGTAGTACAGTGGTCATCTAGACCAATCCTTTATACTTGAACCCCATCAAGGAGATCTGGCCTTGATTTACTTTTAAAATGTACCTATCTAAATATACATACAGAATTAGAAATATCATGTTTTGATGAGAAGTAAAAGTCACTTACCATCTATATTATTTTTCCTTGATGACAAAGAGAGGTTACAAGGTCTGGTAATGTAGGCTGCTGCTCTTGGGTACAACTTGGCATAACCTGTATAGTCCATGTACTCCTGTAATAGACAATGGGGTATTAATTATGCTACACTATTGGTACTATTTGTGTAGTCCATGTACTCCTGTAATAGACAATGGGGTATTAATTATGCTACACTATTCGTACTACTTGTGTAGTCCATGTACTCCTGTAATAGACAATGGGGTATTGATTATGCTACACTATTGGTATTACTTGTATAGTCCATGTACTCCTGTAATAGATAATGGGGTATTGATTATGCTACACTATTGGTATTACTTGTGTAGTCCATGTACTCCTGTAATAGACAATGGGGTATTGATTATGCTACACTATTGGTATTACTTGTGTAGTCCATGTACTCCTGTAATAGACAATGGGGTATTGATTATGCTACACTATTGGTATTACTTGTGTAGTCCATGTACTCCTGTAATAGACAATGGGGTATTGATTATCCTACAATATTGGTACTACATGTACTTGTGTAGTCCATGTACTCCTGTAATAGACAATGGGGTATTGATTATGCTACACTATTGGTATTACTTGTGTAGTCCATGTACTCCTGTAATAGACAATGGGGTATTGATTATGCTACAATATTGGTACTACTTGTGTAGTCCATGTATTCCTGTAATAGACAATGGGGTATTGATTATGCTACAATATTGGTACTACTTGTGTAGTCCATGTACTCCTGTAATAGACAATGGGGTATTGATTATGCTACACTATTGGTATTACTTGTGTAGTCCATGTACTCCTGTAATAGACAATGGGGTATTGATTATGCTACAATATTGGTACTACTTGTGTAGTCCATGTATTCCTGTAATAGACAATGGGGTATTGATTATGCTACAATATTGGTACTACTTGTGTAGTCCATGTACTCCTGTAATAGACAATGGGGTATTGATTATGCTACACTATTGGTATTACTTGTATAGTCCATGTACTCCTGTAATAGACAATGGGGTATTGATTATGCTACACTATTGGTATTACTTATGTAGTCCATGTACTCCTGTAATAGACAATGGGGTATTGATTATGCTACACTATTGGTATTACCTGTATAGTCCATGTACTCCTGTAATAGACAATGGGGTATTGATTATGCTACAATATTGGTACTACTTGTGTAGTCCATGTACTCCTGTAATAGACAATGGGGTATTGATTATGCTACACTATTGGTATTACTTGTGTAGTCCATGTACTCCTGTAATAGACAATGGGGTATTGATTATCCTACAATATTGGTACTACTTGTGTAGTCCATGTACTCCTGTAATAGACAATGGGGTATTGATTATGCTACACTATTGGTATTACCTGTATAGTCCATGTACTCCTGTAATAGACAATGGGTATTGATTATGCTACACTATTGGTATTACTTGTGTAGTCCATGTACTCCTGTAATAGACAATGGGGTATTGATTATGCTACACTATTGGTATTACTTGTGTAGTCCATGTACTCCTGTAATAGACAATGGGGTATTGATTATCCTACAATATTGGTACTACTTGTGTAGTCCATGTACTCCTGTAATAGACAATGGGGTATTGATTATGCTACACTATTGGTATTACTTGTGTAGTCCATGTACTCCTGTAATAGACAATGGGGTATTGATTATGCTACACTATTGGTATTACTTGTGTAGTCCATGTACTCCTGTAATAGACAATGGGGTATTGATTATCCTACAATATTGGTACTACTTGTGTAGTCCATGTACTCCTGTAATAGACAATGGGGTATTGATTATGCTACACTATTGGTATTACAGGCCTGTCAACTGTCCCGCAATTTGCGTATTTGTCACGCATTTGCTGAAGAATTTGAAGTCACGCCAGTTTTTTTTGCGTGACAGATAATGTCACGCAAAATACGCATTTTACCTGGTAATTGTCAAGCAAAAATATTTCTGTAGAAATTTTTTCGAAATATGTTTACGATACGGTAAAAATACGAACGCCGGAAAAAACCGAACGCAATTTGTTCGGATTTGTCACGCGAATCCCGTATGTGTCACGCATGTTCATTGGAAATTTTTCGTACCTACCCCCCCCCCCCCCCCCCCCCCCCGTTGACGATATCGCGAGCGTAGCGTGCGCGAAAAATTTGAGGTGTTCAAAGTTTGGCAAATGTGCTCAAACTTTGGCCAAAGGTGTTTAAAAGTTGGCCAAAGGTGTTCAAAATTTGGACAAAAGTGTTCAGATTTGGACTTAGGTGTCCAACATTTTGAAGTCACTCATATTAGGTGGTCCCAAGTTGACAGCCCTGGTATTACCTGTATAGTCCATGTACTCCTGTAATAGACAATGGGTATTGATTATGCTACACTATTGGTATTACTTGTGTAGTCCATGTACTCCTGTAATAGACAATGGGGTATTGATTATGCTACACTATTGGTATAACTTGTGTAGTCCATGTACTCCTGTAATAGACAATGGGGTATTGATTATCCTACAATATTGGTACTACTTGTGTAGTCCATGTACTCCTGTAATAGACAATGGGGTATTGATTATGCTACACTATTGGTATTACTTGTGTAGTCCATGTACTCCTGTAATAGACAATGGGGTATTGATTATGCTACAATATTGGTACTACTTGTGTAGTCCATGTATTCCTGTAATAGACAATGGGGTATTGATTATGCTACAATATTGGTACTACTTGTGTAGTCCATGTACTCCTGTAATAGACAATGGGGTATTGATTATGCTACACTATTGGTATTACTTGTGTAGTCCATGTACTCCTGTAATAGACAATGGGGTATTGATTATGCTACACTATTGGTATTACTTGTGTAGTCCATGTACTCCTGTAATAGACAATGGGGTATTGATTATGCTACACTATTGGTATTACCTGTATAGCCCATGTACTCCTGTAATAGACAATGGGGTATTGATTATGCTACACTATTGGTATTACTTGTGTAGTCCATGGACTCCTGTAATAGACAATGGGGTATTGATTATGCTACACTATTGGTATTACTTGTGTAGTCCATGTACTCCTGTAATAGACAATGGGGTATTGATTATCCTACAATATTGGTACTACTTGTGTAGTCCATGTACTCCTGTAATAGACAATGGGTTTATGATTATGCTACACTATTGGTATTACCTGTATAGTCCATGTACTCCTGTAATAGACAATGGGGTATTGATTATGCTACACTATTGGTATTACTTGTGTAGTCCATGTACTCCTGTAATAGACAATGGGGTATTGATTATGCTACACTATTGGTATTACTTGTGTAGTCCATGTACTCCTGTAATAGACAATGGGGTATTGATTATCCTACAATATTGGTACTACTTGTGTAGTCCATGTACTCCTGTAATAGACAATGGGGTATTGATTATGCTACACTATTGGTATTACTTGTGTAGTCCATGTACTCCTGTAATAGACAATGGGGTATTGATTATCCTACAATATTGGTACTACTTGTGTAGTCCATGTACTCCTGTAATAGACAATGGGGTATTGATTATGCTACACTATTGGTATTACTTGTGTAGTCCATGTACTCCTGTAATAGACAATGGGGTATTGATTATGCTACAATATTGGTACTAATTGTGTAGTCCATGTACTCCTGTAATAGACAATGGGGTATTTATTATGCTACAATATTGGTACTACTTGTGTAGTCCATGTACTCCTGTAATAGACAATGGGGTATTGATTATGCTACACTATTAGTATTACTTGTGTAGTCCATGTACTCCTGTAATAGACAATGGGGTATTGATTATGCTACAATATTGGTACTACTTGTGTAGTCCATGTACTCCTGTAATAGACAATGGGGTATTGATTATGCTACACTATTGGTATTACTTGTGTAGTCCATGTACTCCTGTAATAGACAATGGGGTATTGATTCCCGAGATGACACCAGACATCACGACTCTGTTCAACTTGAACTATAACATCATTTTATACCATTAATTTCAATTTTCGGAAGAAAAATTTCTTTCGTAACACTCATCCGAGGAGGGTGTCATCCTAAATGTGTCTCGTCCGGAGACGTGTCATCCCGAGATGACACCAGACATCACGACTCTGTTCAACTTGAACTATAACATCATTTTATACCATTAATTTCAATTTTCGGAAGAAAAATTTCTTTCGTAACACTCATCCGAGGAGGGTGTCATCCTAAATGTGTCTCGTCCGTAGACGTGTCATCCCGAGATGACACCAGACATCACGACTCTGTTCAACTTGAACTATAACATCATTTTATACCATTAATTTCAATTTTCGGAAGAAAAATTTCTTTCGTAACACTCATCCGAGGAGGGTGTCATCCTAAATGTGTCTCGTCCGGAGACGTGTCATCCCGAGATGACACCAGACATCACGACTCTGTTCAACTTGAACTATAACATCATTTTATACCATTAATTTCAATTTTCGGAAGAAAAATTTCTTTCGTAACACTCATCCGAGGAGGGTGTCATCCTAAATGTGTCTCGTCCGTAGACGTGTCATCCCGAGATGACACCAGACATCACGACTCTGTTCAACTTGAACTATAACATCATTTTATACCATTAATTTCAATTTTCGGAAGAAAAATTTCTTTCGTAACACTCATCCGAGGAGGGTGTCATCCTAAATGTGTCTCGTCCGGAGACGTGTCATCCCGAGATGACACCAGACATCACGACTCTGTTCAACTTGAACTATAACATCATTTTATACCATTAATTTCAATTTTCGGAAGAAAAATTTCTTTCGTAACACTCATCCGAGGAGGGTGTCATCCTAAATGTGTCTCGTCCGTAGACGTGTCATCCCGAGATGACACCAGACATCACGACTCTGTTCAACTTGAACTATAACATCATTTTATACCATTAATTTCAATTTTCGGAAGAAAAATTT